CCCAGTCATGGCACACTCACACAAAAATTTCCCTGGAAAAATAATCTTTTAGTCTAGAATTTCTCTATATACTGCACCATTCTCTTTTCTGTTCATATTCTGAACCAACCAACCTTTACACCCCCTTCCAAAAAATTAATTTAGATAAAATTATTTCTTCACTCAACAATTTTTAGTAGTATACTCTTGAGGAAGACCTAGGGCGGAAAAACAATTTAATTTTTTTCTCTCTAATTTACAGAACACACTTGCTAATAGACCTAAATATAGTTGAATCTAGATTATATTTATAACAAAATGAAATTAATTTAACCACAAAATCCCATTACAAGATATTTTTAAAATCTCTTCAAGTCTTTTACTAAGGACCTGCATCCTCTGTCTTTGAATTTGTTTAAGTAACTTCCCTTTTTATTTTTCCCTGTAGTTTAGTGCTTAAGAGTTAATGTCTTTTATGTTTTTGCTTTTTTTCTGGTATTAGTCCTGAGGCTTGAACTAAAGACCTAGGTGCTGACCCTCAGTTCCTTCTGCTCAAGGATCAGACTCAACCACTTGAGCATGGTTACACTTCCAGCCTTTTAGTAGATTATTGGAGATAAGAGTCTTACAGACTTTCCTGCCCAGGCTGGCTTTGAACTGCAATCCTCATATCTCAACCTCCTGAGTAATTAGGATTACAGGCATGAGCAACCAGCACCTAATATATGTTTTTGCATTTTATTCCAGTGGTATGTGTGTTACAAAATGTATATGTTTGAGAACACATACTCACAAGTATGTAATCCATATGTATCAAGTATAGTACACACAACCACATATATGCATTTTAAAAGTAAACATTTGTCACTTAAAGTTGAAGCTTGCTCTTTCAAATAAATGTATTAATCCTGTTTGTACAATATTATGTTGAAAATGAAATGTCCTTGAAAGGAAGGGACTTCAAAATTCAAAAATTAGATAAAGAAATAACACTTTCTAATGTTCAACACGACACAGATTCATACCTGGTACCTGAATATTATCTCCGTACCTGAATTTTTTCTCCAAAATAACAATCTCTATTTTTGTTGTGCAATGTGTTTATAGTTCACTCTCCATCCCACCCTCTTGCTTTTAAAGACTTAATTCAAGGAACCTGATTTCTGGATAAGAGTCTTCTTGCTACCTCACATTATAAAAAACTAACTCCCCATTGTGGGTAATAGAAAGCATTTAGTCTCCACTGATGCTGTTGATAACTCTCTAGGGCTGTGGAAAAGACAGAATTAATTCGAGGCTCCTGGAGACAAGGAATGGAACTTGACTTCTTCTCCATAGTACCAAAGTCCTGGAAGTTTCCTATCATAAGTAGTTCCTATCCACTTTTCCAATTTGTAGAGATGTGGATTCAACCAAGAAGTATGTTTAGGGTTTGGTTTTCTCAGGTACTCACAAAAATCAAATATCATATCCAAGAGAGAACTGTGGACAGCACCATAAAGCAAAACACCATGGCCCAAGTTCACGAAGAGGGGGTATATCATGTTCAGATTCTATTTATAAGAGATACAGCAAAATTTAGACAGATATACAATGATCCCTGTCCCAACCAGGATTTAAACCAGAAATGAAAATAAACCAGAGAGAGCAGCTGCGTGCATGGGGAAGAATGATGGCGTGCATGGCAATGGTTAGCAGATTTGGGGATGGAGCACTGGTGAGATTCTCACCCTGAACTTTCTAGGCTCATGTTGGTAAGAAGGAGTGGAGATCCAAGGCCAGTCAGGGGAAAAGGGTTATCACAATCCTATTCAACGAACAACTGGATACAGTGGTGGGAGTCTTTAATCCCAGCTACTAGAGATGCAGGTGCAGGCTGGCCAAGACAAAAAATGCAACCCTGAGGCCAGACGGGTATCTGTGGCTCAGTCAGAGGTTACAGACAGAGGATCATGTATGGTTCATAGGCAGCCTCAGTACAAAAGCCCTAGTCATTCTGTCTTTACTTAACCAGCAAAAAGCCAGGCTTGGAGGCATGGCTCAGGTAGCAGAGTGCAGCCAGCAAACCAAGACATAACACAAGTCAAGCTCCAGAAATGGCAAAATAGCTATGCACCAGTGGCTCATGCCTATAATCCTAGCTACTAAGAAGGCTGAGCTTTGAAGGCTATGATTCAAAGCCAGCCAGGGCAGGAACATCCCTGTGAGACTTTTATCTTCAATTAATCACCAAAAATAAATAGATATACTTGTAAGTAGAGCAGTGGCTCAAATGCTAGTCCTGAGGAAGAAAGCTCAGGGACAGTGCCCAGGCCCTGACTTAAAGCCCTAGGACTGGTGTGCGTGCAGGCACGCATGCACACCCACACACACATTAAGCACTGGCAAACTATAGAATGATAAAAGGTTACAAAAAGGGACAGCAGATGTTCTGATGTAGGCCACCTGTTACAGCTTACAAGCTGTAGGCTCTGACTTCAATGTCTTCAAACCCCAGTACCATACAAGAAAATAAATAGATCAGCAAATAAATAAATAAATAAGGAAGTGAAAAAGAGATAAGAGAAGCTGCTAAGATGTCATCCATCTGCAACTCATGTTCTCCATAGAGCTCTATGTCCTAGTGGGTAGTGGTTATGCATCCAGGACCAGGACCAGGAAAATCAGCCAGTGCCCACCCCACCCACCCTCCTGGGAAGCTAGAATGTGACCTCCCATTGTCTCCATCCTCTTACCCAGAATCCTAGAGGGCTCTTCTAGGAAGGGAGGGGCCCCAAGGCATGTTATAAGAAGGACTGACAACATGGTCCTTGCTCAGCAATGGCTCTAAAGCCACCAAGGAGATCTGAACAGGTGGAGAGACAGGGACTACAGGCAAGGTCGCTGTACTGTGGCAGGCAGAGAGGTTGAGGGCTGGAAGAACTCAAAGAAGAGGAGGAGCGCCCCCTGGAGGCTGCAAATGTACTGTGTCTTGAAAGCTTGTCACCTGGTGTTCCTTTTGGGCTGTCACCTCTCACAGCAGCTCAGAGTTCCTCAGCTGGGAAAACCAAACTCTGAGATCACACCCTCACCCCCACAGGACACACACACACACACACACACACACAGGACACACACACACACACACACACACACACACACACACACACACACACCAGAGGAACTTACAGCCCAGAAAGTGGGGATATATGGCTTCAAAAGTGAAGTGCTTAGGAAAACACCCACTCCTTTTGTCTGTTTACTCTCTTAAAAATCAATGGTTTTTCTGAGTCTCTTTAGTTCTGGGGAGAATGGTGGCTCCCTAAACTGATCAACCCTGGGTGTGTATTACCTAGAGGCTCTTGTGTCTCATATTCTCATAGGCTGGCTCTGAAGCGAAACATGGAGGATAAAAAGAGAAGTTAGAAAAACGAGAGTAAAAGAAAAAGTAAAATTATTTTAGCAGAGTTAATGCCAAACTTCCTACCTAAAGCTCTTCACCATAGAACCACTGCGCCCTCTTGTGGTCTACTGTGCCAACAGGATGTTTTAGGGTTAGAAGAGGGTTAGAAATGGCTGTTCTAAACCTGTATTTCAAGTCCTTGACCTGTCACCTTATACAATTTCCCCCCCCAGGACTCACCATTGAACGTCAAGGGCTGGGACTGTGGCTTGGTGGCAGAGTGCTTGTCTAGCATGGATGAAGCCCTGGATTCCATACCACATAAACAGAAAAAGGTGGAAGTCAAGTGGTAGAGTGCTAGCCTTGAGGCAAATAAAGCTCAGGGACAGAGGCCAGGCCCTGAGTTCAAGCTCCAGGACAGGCACCCTCCCCTGGCCAAAAAAAATAATTTTGAAGTGGTTTATAAAGTACGAAGGGACAAAGGTTTTGTTAGTTCAGAAAGAGCAGTAAGAGATGGTGGGGAAATAAATGCTGACCAAGAACTTAGTGAGTGACTATTAGAGACATAACTTGTGGCTCTTTCCGTAGGCCTCTTTATGTTAGCTACAGTGAAATAGTTTCTATGTTACTTTTCTCCAAATACACATCCTAAATTTGTTGCTGTGAAATTTTATAGTAACCCAGTAATGCGGAGATGCGGCTATGGTGAGTAAAGGGTCTTTATGAAAGGGTGCCTGTTCCTGTGGCTTTTGTGGCCACTATTTTCATTAAATATCAGCATCTTTCAGTTGGGGGAATATTGTTCCTTTGAATTGTATATTCTACTAATTGTTATTATATATTCTTATTATGTATTCTGGCTAAGTGGGGAATGTTCAGAAAAGAAGTGTGAGCTGGCAATGTTTACAATGCAAAGTTTGCAGTCTTCACATTCCTTCTTTCACAGCATCTTAGGTTTGACAACCTATCAGTTTCTTTCTTTTTAAGATGTTTAGTTGGGCAGAAAGCCCATATTTTGATTACCTTTATTTATCTCCTTTGATAAGGATTAGTTTAGTCCAAGGATGAGTTCTGTCAAATGCTTTACTTGAGACGAAATTCCCTTCCCCCAAAAATACACAGTCAGAGAAAGTGCAAAGCTAAAAGTATAGTGAGACTTCCCATTATCTGTTAGAGTGGTACGTATTCCTAGCTCCTGGCTCTTAGCTCCATTTAGATTGGATTTTAGTTTGTTTTTGCTTTCATGACATCCATTCCTGTTCTATTCTGCTTCAGAAAAGTTCTTGGAACACAATATTAGGTTTAAATGATTATTCGAAGAATTAATGAATCCTTTAACATTTGACATTCAAAAATTTGCTAAATTAAATTCAAAAACATTCCTCAGTAGAAAATATGCATGTACATTTACCTGGAGGCATGTGGTTCCAGTGATACCATGATTGATGAACGAATGCAAGGCTTTGAGTTCAAACCCCAGTACAACCACACACATACACACACGCGCATGCACACACACACCACACACACACACACACAAACACTTGTACACATGCGTGCATGTGCATGCACACACACAGACACAGGTTGTAATTTTTGCTTATTGTTTTGAAACAAGATTATGTCTTTGATATTTACATTTAATTAACATGTTATTAACAATAACGTTAAGTATGCTGAATATTTATACTTTTTACATTGTTAAAATATTTTAAAGTATCCTGTCGTTATTCTGGAAATGATTTGTTTAAAAGAAACATCCTCACAGCAAAGTTAGGAATGCAGGAAGTGTTTCGTATCATTTTATTTCACTAGAATTTCATTTATTCTGGATTTCATTAGCTTATTGGTCATCCTCACATTTTTCTAAGTAATCTTTTTTTGGGGGTGGGGGGTCTGGTCGTGGGGCCTGAACTGGGCCTGAGTGCTGTCCTTCAGCTCTTCAGCTCAATGCTAGTGCTCTACCATTTGAGCCACAGTGCCACTTCCGGCTTTTTTTTTTTTTTGCTTATGTGGTGCTGAGGAATTGAACCCAGGGCCTCAGGCATGCAAGGCAAGCACTCTACCACTGAGCCAACTTCCCAGCCCCTTTCTAAATAATCTTAACTAAAATCTTACAATCTCTTTTATCAATGAGACGTGAAAAAGAATCAAGAGGTGATTATTGCTGGCCAGCTTCCGGTGAGACAAAGCCTCTGTAGTTATTGATGGCCACTTGAAGAGCTTTCTTCATCCTCTTCATTGTAGAATACTTAGGCAGGAGTAGAATATTATGACAAGTCAGTGATCTTGGTATATCATTTTCACTGTAAGTTTCAGGACAGCAAAATCGTATTCTGCTATCATTCAGACCTCCCACAGACAGTCTGTCAGTTCCTGTAAGAAACACTTGAAAGGAATAAAATTTGGTTAAGATAGTTCATAGAGGAAAACTTCAAATGGGAAGGAAGACAATGGTTTTCCATAAAGGTTTATTTGTATATGCTTCTATGGCAAGAGCTACATGAGGCCAGGTAAAATACACAAAATCAGGATATCTGGTTCTGGTTCTCCATGAGTCATGATGGTAGAGAAATTATTAACAAGAAAATACAAAAGCAAATATAAGGAAGTTTAATTGAGCTGCATTAGAAACATGAAGGACTGAGAGAGCAGGAAGTTCACTGAGGTCAGACTGACTAGTTTTCTAAAAGAGGAATGAGGTGAGTCTTCAAATGTTCAGGAAAAAACAAAATGGAGTACCTCACAACACTAGCTCACAACACGTGAAATGGAGTGGAAGGCCATTGTTAATGAGATCACAGACAGGCACAGCTGAACCTTTGAACTGACCTTCTACATGACTGCCCTCTGGAAATTGACCTTGAATATGTAGTTAACCTTCCGTGACTTGTTGTTGACCATTTTACAGAGATACAATGGACTCCTTCTTCCAAACTATGAAGAGATCAAGATCAATCCTTTTCTTGCAAGACTGATGATTCTTTGCCAACACTATCATAACTCCTACCAATGCATGCAATTTCCAAGCCATTTGCAGCTAGGAATAGAGACTGTTGGTAAAATCTTTTTTTTTTTTTTCCAGTCTTGGGCTTGAACTCTCAGCCTGGGCACTGTCCCTCAGCTCTTCAGCTCAAGGCAAGCACTCTACCACTTGAGCCACAGTGCCACTTCTGGCATTTTCTACTTATATGGTACTGAAGAATCAAACCAAGGACTTTATGCATGCAAGGCAAACAGTCTACACTGAGACCAATGATAAAATTTGAATCAAGTTGGGTGCAGCAGCTCCACCTGTACTTGGGAGGCTAAGTGGAAGAATGGGAGCTAGAAGCTGGCAAGGCGTTAACAAGACCTCATCTCAACCAAAATTTGGGGATAGGTGACACATATCTGTCAACCCACTACAGAGAGAAGTGTAAAATAGAGAAGGCTTAAGATACAGGCTAGCCTTGGCAAAATATAACCAGAGCAAAAAGGGCTAGAGGTATGGCTGAAGTAGTAGAGCACCTGCCTAGATACAACCTAAGGACTAAGAGATGAGAGACTGGCTGGGTGCCTGTAATCCTAGCTACTCAGGAGGTTGTTATCTGAGGCTACTAATTCAAAGCCAGCCAGGTAAGGAAGTTTATATGACTCTCCTTTCCAATTAAACAGTCAAAGTCCAGACATTAAGATGTGTCTAAAATGGTAGAGTGCTAGCTTGGAGCAAAAAAACTAAAGGACAGCACCCAGGCTCTGAGTTCAAGCCCAAGTACCTGATACTAAACCAATCAGTAAATAAGTAAATCAATAAATAAACAAACTGGAGATGAGACTGCTCAGTGTAGCAAAGATACTAAAATAGCACTGTGTCTAATACTTTTATCAATGGAAGACAGGCTAAAAATATAATGATGACCTAAAAGCAAGGAGTCTGCCATTGGTATATGTGACCTACTACTAATATGTATAACCTACCATTCATACACATGACCTACTGTTAGGACATGTAACTATTGTTAATAGACATGACACACCATTAAAAATGACTTCAACTACTTCAATACTTACAGAGAAATTTTTTCTTTTCAGCCAATGATAGTTCGTGGAAAGCCTTCCAGAATAACTTTATTGTGTGATGTGATTTGTTATATCCTTGCTCATACACTGAATTCTTGAGAGAAAGAGGACAAAAGTAGTCTTTAGGGGAAATATGTAAAAATTATTTAGAAAAGACAGGGATGCTATAGATAACACACCTACCATTTCAAACTGTTTCCAGTCATAATCAGTATTTCCAATTATTGCTGTCATTAGTTCTTCAGGCTTGAAGAACTGAACCATTATCCAGTCACAGAGCTTATAAAATCCTCTCTGAAATTCCTCATAAATTGGCTTTATAGAGATGTTGAAAATATAATCAACATACTTAGAAACATAATCTTTCCTTGTGGGAAGAAGAAAAAAGCAAATGAAATATATTACTAGTCTCTAACATAGTCTCCACTTTTCTCTTTTGTTGTTTAATCATTTCTATTGGGAAAGAAAAGTCTATATCTTCTGCATAGCACAGAGTCCTGCATAACAGAGTGATATAAAAGCCTGATCAGCTAGCAGAGGCAATGTTACAGACTATAAACAAAAGGACTGGCATTTTATTGTTACATTTGCTTCCTCCCATCCAGAAATTTTTTTAAAGCATTGATCTGAACAAATCCATCGTAAATTGAAAACTCCGTATATCAAATATGTATTCAATATGTGTTATCACCATACTAAGTGTGATAGTTTAGCAATGCAGTCCATTGTAGAGTGTTGGATGTTGTCTTTCCTGATCACAGCTTCCTAATCAACTTCCTGATCAGTCAACAGCTGCCTAGCTACCAGAGTAAGAGGCTTACTTGCTAGCCCAGGGAAAGGTTGAAATAAGAAACTGTGGAGTACGGTTTCTACTAAGTGCATGATACTTCCACACCATTGTTAATCTGAATTACTCTAAGTCATTCTTCTGCCTAAAATCTTCCAAATACTTCACCCTTATTGTGAATCCAGACCTCCTTCTACCATCAAATCCAGCAGCTCCTGGATGTTAGCTCTATCACATTGACCTTGCCTAAAACTTCAAGCAGTTTGTATATATTATAATGCAATACATTATTTTACTTGATTGGTGTATATTAATTGTACAAAGTAAGGAATTTCAAGTGATACCCCCATCCATTTATTCATGTTAACCTTTTAAAATTATTGTTATTGTTTTTAAGTAGACATTGTTTTTCCTGTTCACCTGTTTTTCCCTCTCTGTTAGTCATCAGATTTTGATATGATTATGATGTTTTCAGGGCTGGTCATTCTGTCCCTTTTGCTCTGCCCTCTCCCAGAGAGGGCACTTTGTGGGTTTTTTTCCTGCATGATTTGCCCTACAAAATACAGATCTCTTTGTATGATAAATTTCCTGAATGCCAAGTGTTACAGTTTGGATATGGGTACATGAATAGACTTCACATATTGAAATCTATTCCCCACTGTGCAATATTAAAAGGGTAAAATTCTACCTGATTATGGTGCTTAGAGATGAGGTCTTTGGAAGGTAGTTAGAATCATATAGCTTACCACAAGGACCCTCAATATTAAACACTGGAGGAAGAAGACCAGAAGAGAACTATTAACTAAATAAACCCCTTTTCTTTTTATTAAGTTACCTAGTGTCAGGTATTTCCCTCTAGTAATGAAAAATATACCAATAGAACCCAATCATTACTGCAGGCATTTTCACCAGAAGCATGTTTGGTCTCTACCTTTCAGTCAGCCTAGTAAACCTTCCTACTTCAATTATTTCTTGATAATGGCCATTCTAACTGGGGTAAGGTGGAATCTTAATGTTGTTTTGATTTGTATTTCTTTTATGGCCAGAGATATTGAGCATTTCTTCATGGATTTATTGACCATTCTTATTTCCTCTTCAGAGAAGTCTCTCTTAAGTCTTTAGCCCACTTGTTAATGAGGTAGTTGTTTCTTTGGGGATCTATTTTGGGGAGATTTAAATTTTTACCTCTCAGTATATTTTAGATATGAGGCCTTTACTAGTGGGGCTAGTAATGATCTCTCCCAGTCTGTGGACTTGACACTATGTTGGAAATGAACTATACAACTTGTGTGGGAGGGGAGGGGAGTAAGGAAGGATAAGCCAGAGAAAATGAGGGAGGAGGGTAACAGTGTTTAAAAAGAAATATACTCACTACCTTACTTATGAAACTGTAGCCCCTCCTTGCTCATCACCTTTATAATAAAGATATTTTTTTAAGTGACAAAGAAAAAAATCATCTCTAGATATCCTCCCTTATAACAAGTGATGGGCTGGTAAGTGTTTAACAACCAGTTTTCTGAAAGGAGGGGAAGACAGGGATTGGGGAAAAGAAGAGAGAAAAAGAAGGAGGAAAGGAGGGAGAAAGAAGAGAGAGAAAAGGAAGAAGTGAAAAGAGAGAAGGAGAAGGAGGAAAGGAGGAAGAAGAGGAAAATGAAGAATTAGGAGGAAGTGAAGGAGGAGGAGGAATGTAGAGGAAGGAGGAAAAGGAAGAAGAGGAAGAATCTTTTTGTTTCCTTGGGTCTGGTCGTGGGGCCTGAACTCTGGGCCTGGGCACTGTCCCTCAGCTCTTCAGCTCAAGGTTAGCACTCTACCACTTGAGCCATAGTGCCACTTCTGGCTTTTTTCATTTTGCTTATGTGGTGCTGAGGAATCGAACCCAGGGCCTCAGGCATGCAAGGCAAGCACTCTACCACTGAGCCATCTTCCCAGCCCCAAGAGGAAGAACCTTATCTGAAGCAGTTGTCAGTTTCTGTGGTGCATATATTCTCTCTAAGGCCGACTTCAAGCTACAGGAGCTTTAATAATGAACTACAATTCTTTCAGAAAATTCAGTTCTTAAAAACTGGTTATCAGCTAGCTCCAGTTTACCATTAGTAATCTCTTAGTCCCTTGAATGGCTTTAAGTTTCCTCAGGGTACGCACCCCTACATTACATACCTACATTACATGATGATTTAGGTATATGCTTTCTGCTCCACTAGAATTTAAGTTTGACATTTCTATTTTTCATTGTTTTATCTCTAGATTCCACAATAGGGAAATAGGGTCTTATATAGGACAGAAGCTGAGTAATCTCTGAAATGATAGAAATTACTCACACACACACACACACACACACACACACACACACAGTGCCAGTCCTGGGGCTTGAACCCAGGGTCTGGGTGCTGTCTCTGAGCTTTTTTCCTCAAGGCTAGTGTTTTACAAGATGAGTCATAGCTCCACTTCTGGCTTTTTTGATAATTAATTGGAAATAAAAGTCTCACAGGCTTTCCTGTCTGGGCTGGCTTCAAACTTCAATCCTCAAATTTCAGCCTCTAGAGTAGCTAGGAGTACAGGCAGGAGCCACCAGCACTCAGTTTAGAAATATTTAATTCTGATTCCTTTGTCCCATTCTCTTACCCTATAATTTATTTATCTTTCTAAAAGACAATGAGTTAATCTACTCATCTGATAAGTCAATAGATATTCTGTAAAGTACAATGACACAAGTATTTTATGTATATTAAAAATATATACATCTTTAAGGTATATACATCTTATAACTTACTTGTTGGTTTGGTTCACAGGTATAGAGCTTCCATTTGGTACTAAATCAACAGTATTTTCATCCCAGTATATCTGTAACCAAAATGTTTCAGGTATCAAGCATAAAAGTAAGTCTCAATAATCATATTATGGGGGCTGGGAAGGTGGCTCAGTGGTAAAGCGCTTGCCTTGCATGCCTGAGGCCCTGGGTTCGATTCCTCAGCACCACATAAGCAAAAAGAAAAAAGCCAGAAGTGGCGCTGTGGCTCAAGTGGTAGAGCACTAGCCTTGAGCTGAAGAGCTGAGGGACAGCGCCCAGGCCCAGAGTTCAGGCCCCATGACTGGACCCAAAAAATAAATAAATAAATTTTAAAAAATAATCATATTATGGGAATAATATATTATTCCTATAATGGCTTAACACCACTTTTCCCTATAGAAATTTAAATAATTAGGGTCAATTGTTTATCCTGTTCATTTTTTAAAATACGTATTAAAAGCCAGGCACTCACGGCCCATGCCTGTAATTCTAGCTAAACAGAGGGCTCTGAGGTCTGAGAATCACAGTTCAAAGCCAGTCCAGGTAGATTAATTAATCATCAAGAAAGACAGATGTGGAGCTGTGGGTCAAGTGGTAGAAAACCAGCCTTAACCTAACAAGCCAACCGAGAGCACACACCTGAGTTCAAGTTCAAGTATTAGCACAAAAATAAATTAATTAAAAATTTAAAAATTATTCATATATATAATTTATAATTATTTAAGGCATAAGTTATTCTGTTTAGCTGTTTAGATTGTTTACATTAATTGAACAATTACTATACCTTTTAGGGGAATCTATAGATATAAATTATCAAATAATTAGTGAATGGGCAGGGAAATTTTTGCAGCACAAAAGTAAATAGTCTTTCAAAAGTATGGGCACACCATATATGTAAGATTCTGTATTAAAAATAATTTTAATAAGAAAGGTTAGGGCTGGGTATGTATCTCAGTAACATAGCATTTACCTGGTATGCATAAGGCTTCCCCCCCAAACAGATTAAAGTAAAACTATAATCAAACTTATTACTCACAGAAAAATAAATGTCAGCTTCAATGACATCAGCTTTACAATTAAGAATTTCCTGTAGACTCCTGTGAAAAATTTGATTAAAAAATTACATTTGTTGATCTTATAGTAAATGTTCAATGGGAAAGAATATGAACAGTCCAGAAATGTATCAAATGCAATGTAATATTCTCTCTTTCTACCCACAGTTCTTGCTGGTGTCAGCCATCTTTAGTTTCATCAGCTGGACTACTTATTCCTGCCACACAGACTACAGAATCTGATGGCACAGAGCTTCATCCTCTAGACCAGGGATTCTGAACTAGGCCTCATTCTGCCTCTTAGTGGGGGTATGGAGAAGACTGGAAACATCTTTGATCTTCACCATGAAAGGGAGGGTAGCTAGTTGCATCTCATGGAGGCTGAACCCTAAAGTTGATAAGTATTCCACAATCTCCAGGAAAGCTCTTCACAACACAGTATTAGCAGCCCGAGGGGGCTAGATTAACTTAGTGATAATTAGCTTGCCTAGCATATATAAAGCCTTGCATTTGAGTCCCTGGAACCTAAAAAATGAAGCAGTAAGCAAAAATGTAGCCCCAAATGTCAATGTTGCCAAGATTGAAAAACTCTGTTCTAAGGTAAATCTGGCCACTATATTCTCCCTTGTCTAGTTAAGAAGATAATTCTTTCCCCCAACTTATTGTTGTAAGTGTATTTGTAGAAAAATGATATCTCACTTTTGCTTTTTCAGTAACTAATGAAGTAGAGCATGCTTTCAGTTTTTGATTTGCCATCTATGTACATACTTACATCACCGGTCTGTAGTCTGACAATGTTGTGTGAAGACACACTTAGGACATATATCATGAACTGTTCAGAGTAACTATTTCCTACCTTAATCAAGTCAAAAGACAGAGCTAACACTAAAGCTACCAGCACAACCATGTTTGTTGCAGCATTATTTACCATAGCTGAGATATGGCACTAACCTAGATACCCCACAGTAGATGAATGGATCAAGAAAATGTGGTGTATATACACAATGGAATTCTATGCTTTCATCAGAAAGAAAGATATTACAGTCATAAGGAAATATATTAAGCAAAATAAGCCACACCCAAAGAAATACAGGCTGTGTGATTTTCCTCATTTGTAATATCTAGACTATGTCTATGATATTCTTACAGGAAGATCACAATAACTCAATAGCTAGGTACATAAAATGAAGCTTATCAAAATGAACTCCAAGAAACGGAAACAAGAGGGTTTTTTTTATAATGCATTGTTTGCAGTTATTTCTTTTTTTTCCCTTTGGTTTATGCCCTATTGTCACCATTTTTTATTTCTGAACACTTTGTCTTATATGTAAGTTTATTGGATTTGGAGAAGGGAAGAGGAAGTATAGAAACAATAGGACAAAGGGTAAACCAATGCAACAGTGATACTCACTAGATACTATGTTGGAAATAAAGGAGAGTCAAGGCAGGGAGGGGGAAGTGGGTGAAAGTGAGAGAAGGGGAAACACTGTTCAAAAAGAAATGTACTCATTGCCTTACTTACATAGCTGTAACCCCTCTATATATCACCTTTACAATATTTTATAAGAAAATGTTAATTTAGATTAGAATAATTCAGAACTAGAGGTATATTTGGATTGTATTAATATTTGAAGGTTTACTCTAAGTTATGCTAAAATTCGAATTCATTATATTGACCTAATCTGTCTGATGTGTCTCTCCTTGTGTAACTTTTTGGGCCTAAACAGTTCAGACTTCCTAGGTATACTCCCAAGAAAGAAAATATATTTACTTACTTCCCCACAAGAGGACTGAGATCTTTCAAGTCTTCCAATGATGGTTTTCGGTCTAGAAGTTTTTTATACAACGACAGTGGGAAACGAAGATTGGCAGGATTGGAATTTAATAGGGAGAGCCCACATAATATTCCAAAGAGATAATATTTCTTCTTCTCAAGCTTAGGCTGAAAAAGAAGAAAAATCATATCAATTAGACAAAGGAATATACTAGAAAAGAGAAATACTAAGCCAGTTGCCGGTGGCTCATGCCTGTAATCCTAGCTACTCAGGAGGCTGAGATCTGAGGATTGCAGCTCAAAGCCTGCTCAGGCAGGAAAGCCCATGACATTCTTATCTCCAATAAACCCTCAGAAAACCAGAAGTGGTGTAGTGGCTCAAGTGGTAGAATGCTAGCCTTGAGCTGAATTGCTAAGGGACATTGCCCAGGCCCAGTGTTCAAACCCCAGAACCAACAAAAAAGAAAGAAAATATATTAGTTTCCTTTTCTAAAACCCCAAAAGAAACAAATTGAACATGAGGAGAATAGAATTTGAAATTCTTTCATAGGTAGAATACAATATTTCCTCTGCACTTTTCAATGCACATTAATATTACATAAGTGAATTTATTTTCTGTTACTTATGGAATATCTGAAATATACAACATATACTCCAAGTCATAAACTAAGTTTTTCATGATTTAATTTTATAATTAATACGTTCCTATTCATGGACTGAACAACACTGAGAAAGGAAGTATATACTTTCTCTTCACTTCTGGACAGCGCCAGATATTCATATAAGAGTTCTTTAAATGTTGTCCCTTTGGAAACAGCCCACAACCTGGTGTGCCAGCAGGGCCAAGGCAGAGAAAGAAGCCCCTAACATTGCCCATCCTGGAGGAGAATGGAAGGAAGAGGAAGAAGAGGAGAGTCCTGGTTAAGTTGGTACAATCAATTGGGTATAATTTCAGTGTGTCACCAAAGTATTCCTGTGTTGGAAGTCTGGTCCTTCCTGTGGCAGTGTTCATAGATGGTTGGGTGTTCAGAGGCAGGGCTTAGTGGAAAGTCATTAGGTCATTAGGTCATTGGATTGTGCTTTGGGGAGGGATATACATAGTTCTCAAAGGACTCCAGTTTTTCTCTGGCTTCCTGACTCACCAGGTAATTATTTCACCTTCAAAATCTCCTGCTTTTAATGCCATCTCCTCTTCACTCCTCACCAGATCACTGAGCTGGTGTCAGTGCCAAGTTGTCGAATCTCTACAAGTGTGAGTTAAGTGTACTTCTTTTCTTTATAAAGCAACCAAGCCCAGGTGATTTGTTACAATCAAAATAATGAAAACCGACTAAATCTGTTGGCTTTAGTTCTCCATTCCTTATAACCCTGGATATGAGAAAAATCCTAGGTCCTTCTGTCTCAGCCATAATCAACCCTATAGAGACACTACCCAGAAAATTCTATGATTTCCAAGTATCCCAGTGCCAGGGTTGCTACCAGCAAGTCCCCAACCTTGGGGTCTCATACAATATTAGCCTTCATGATGCACTTGCCCTATTTACTTCTCAGTGGGAGGATAAGTGTGCATCTGAATTTTCAAAATGAGTTTAAAAATACAAGTAATCTCCAAAAGTAACCTCGCCTAACCTAATCAGTGTCTTCCCCCCCCATAATTCCATAATTTGATTTTGTCACTTAACTGATCCATACTAATTTGAAAAATAATAATCTCTATTTCCTAGCCCAGCAGGACAGTATAATGCTGAAGAGTAAGGACTTTGGCAGTTGTGGTCACACATGCACTAGGGGGCTGAGGTAGAAGAATTGAGAGTTCAAGTCCAGCCTAGGCTATGTAGAAAAACCCTTCTGGTCTCAAAAAACTCACAAAACAAGTAAGAGCTTTGGTATTGGAAAGCCCTAACCTCATAGTGTGACTTGGTTACTTGCTAGTTGTGTGGACAATTGATTAAATCAGTGTGTACCTCAGTTTCTGCATCTGTAAAATGAGATAAGCCATCCATTTCTCAAGATTGCTGAAAAGCTCAGTATTCTCTTTTCTACACCCACCTTTGCATTTCTTCAGTCTATGAGGCCCTGTCCTTAACCACCAACCCCAAGTCTTCACTTGGCCATGATATTCTTTTCAATCACTTCTTTTTTATTTCTTTCTGTCTTAAGAAATAATCTCTTAAATTCGTATATTCCAGGGAGGAAGAGAGGGATGGAAGGAAATAAGGAGGAAGGAAATGAGAAAAGGAAATTTCAGATAATCAAATAATATTGGACAGACATGTTCATTATTTAGATTGTGTAGTTTTTTGAGTATATACATATATCAAAACATCAAATTAGACACTTTAAGTGCAGTTTATTGTATCTCAGGTATCATCTGTGCTATTCAAGATTTAACATAAGAGCCAGGAAGTAATGGCTCATACTTGTAACCCTGGCTACTCAGCAGGTTGACATGTGAAGATCAGGATTTGAAGCCAACCTGGACAGAAAAATCCATGAAACTCTCATCTCCAATTAACCATCACAATTCTGGAAGTGGAGCTGTGGCTCAAGTGGTACAGCACCAGCCTTCATTAAGGGATAGCACCCAGGCCTTGAATTCAAGCCAAAGAAAAGAAAAGAGGAAGGGAGGGAAGGAAGGAAAGAGAGAAAGAGAGAGAGAAAGAGAGAGAGAGAGAGAAACCTGAAAGCATGAATTAGATTCACTCCCAAGTACCAAAAAGACATTAACATGTGCATGAATCACCTGGGGATCTTATAAATACAAGTTTCAACTCTAAGTCTGGAGCCAAACCAGAAATTTGTGGGAAGGGTTTTTTAGAGTTAGGATCTAACTATGTATAGCCCAAGCTGACCTTGAACTTGCAATCTTCCTGACTCAGCCTCACAAGTGCTGAGATTACAGGCATGTGTCACCATGACTGGCTAGGCTTCTGCTTTTTCTAAATGTTCCAGGAGAGGACATAGCTGCTGCTTTATGAACCATATGAATATTTGAGATTCTGTACAGCCCAATTTTAAATTATTTTCTATAGTTTTATATTGCAATAAAGAGCACACTTTTCTGTTCTGAAAAACTGCAAAAGAAATTAAAAACTTACATTGGTAGGAAACCACATGTAGGAACCATTATCAGGATATGTGAACATTCCATATTTAGGGTTGGTCATCTCTTCAAATATACAATGGAAGAACTCAAAGATGACTCCAGTCTCAGGACGAATTTCATCAATAAACCCAACCTATAGAATAAAACACATTCCCAGGCTTTGATTTTAATATGCTGCTCACAACAGGAAGATGAAGGAGTGGGAAAGAGAAAGAAATAGAGAGGTATATTCTGAGTAAAATGTAACACATATACCTCTGAAATATCATGCTGAAACCCCTTGGTACAATTAACACACATGCAAGAGAAAAAATAAAACAGACTCTCTTGGGGACACATACAATGGGAGGGGGAGGGTAAACACAGAAAATAGAGAGAGGAAAATGAGTGAGATGATTAGAGTCTACTTGCCCCAAATAGTCTCCCTTTACATTTATGTCACTTGTTTCTTTAGGCCTAGATACTGCATGTAAGAAAAAAAAAATGTCATCTGCAAAGAGGGAGAGTTTTACTAAGAATGACATTGCCCCATTTGTTAGGAAATGAAAAGACCTGGAAAAAAATTATAGTAAGTGATGTAAGCCAGGCCCAAAGAAACATAGGTCCCATGGTTTCCCTTATTTGCAATAACTAGTATATGTCTGCGTCAAGCAGAAAAGGTCAGTTAAGTTGATGTTAGGGAAATGAACCCTAAGATATGTATTCAAATTTTTTTCTTTCATGCGATTGTTTCTAACACATTTATATAAGATTATTTCTTTGTTGCTTTGTATGTCCCTCCCCCACTGTATAACCCCTGCTCTCACTGTATTTGATGTTGTTATAATTTGTGGAGGGGAAGGGAAAAAACAAATCGTTTAACTAGGGATACAGGAGGACCCATTGCAACAATGAGATGTACAAGTATTATGTCGAAAACGAACTTTACAACTTTGGTGGAGTGGGGGGAGGAGGGTTGAGTGGGAGGGTGGGGGAAGATAGGGGAAGAGGAAACAAAGGAGGAGGCTGCAATGCTTGATAAGAAATGTACTCATTATCTTGCCCATGTAATTGTAACCCCTCTGTACAGTATTTTCACAATAAAAAATAAAGAAAGAAAGAAAAAGAAAAAAATGATGCATGTTTCTTTCTGAGCCTGGTGTGTAATTTTTAATGGAAGTACTCTTACTTTTTTTAATCTGTGTTCTGTTTCTATTCTCATTACCTTGGAGAGCTTATCTGCTAATCTTTGATCAAACTTCATGGTGACAGCCATCACAGTTAAATGCTACCTCATCTTCCCCTCTGTATAGCCTGCTAACAATTTTGGCTTACTTCTGATTTTCTTTCTTCTGCTAACTTAAAAACAAGTCTGCTTAAGTCATTGTCAAGATTCACTCATAATTAGTCTTGGGAATCTTACTATGCTCCAAGTCTATATTTTAATTTGATCTATCTTAAAGTTAACTGTGTTACTTTTTGGTCATGTACAGGGCAAATGATTTTCTACTGATTTTCTCAACAGTCAAAATACAAAGAAAAATAGGTAGAGAAGAAGTCACATGATTAGAAAATCTGGTTTATAAAATAGTTTCTTTGATAATTATTGGCATCCCGTACATTTCCCAACTACTGGGAAATGTCCTTATCTCTCTAACTCCTACACTCCAAGCTCTGATTTCTTCTCTAAAAGCCTATGTCCTCATGCTAGTATTAGGGAAATCCACTACTTTCTATGAAGACTCCAGCTTTTCTCACAGTTAACCAGTATTCTATTCTGTATTAATATGATGAAATATCTGATGTGCCATACAGTTAAACACCCTGAGAGCATCCACAAAAGATTAGATGAAGGGTGACTGTAGTTAAACCTGTACAGTAAAAAGTCCCTAACTAAAACCATAGCTCAAATGTAGAAGCATGTGTTCCCCAGGCTGCTCTTGATTATATGAATAGCTATAATTTCCTATCTCTCCTGATCAAAGGCCTTTGCATATGATTTTGTAGTTCCTCCCACTGAAGTTGTATATATTTCTTCAGCCCTTCACTTGGTCTCATCTAGGAGACTTGACTCATGTTGTGTTTGTTGAGTGATTGCTGTCTTGTACCTCCCATGCTGCTGTGAAAAGACCTTACTTGCTGATCCCAGAAACAATATGAAGGGAATGCAAAACAGAGCTCAACTGTCCCAGGCTAGCCTATCTAGCTCTCAGCCATATAAATACATCCAGACCACATTTGTGGAGCTTAGGATGAAGTTCTCTGGTCAAGCATTTACATAGGATACAAGATCTGGGTTTGATCCCAACACTGTAACAACAGTAGCAACAACAAAACAACCACAGATCTTCCGACTCCCTAATGATAAATGGAGTCTATATCAGGATATCTATGAGTTAAATTGTTATTTTAAGCCATTAAACATTAGGATAGTTCAATAGATGACATTTTCTAGCCATTAATACCTTAGTTAACTCTACTTTTTAAGTCCCATTGTTAGTCTCTGAAGTTAACAAGGGAAATTCTGGTAGAAGGATAATCATAACAACAAATGCAGGCTTTTGTAAAACACTCCTTGCTATATTAAATGAACTTATTCCTGCCTATTGCCACCAAATTATTTTTTATAGTACCAATGAGGGTTTTTATAGTACCAATAAAGGTTTCCGAAGATCGGAAATTTCAGCTTGGCTTAACTGACGCAGGGCATCTTCAATTATGTGAGACCGTCTGACCTTCAGTTTAAACATGCATAGTTCATTGTTCATTAACATACTTGCTGGCCCCTGATTTGGACCCTGAAAGAAAAAGAAAAGAAAAATAGCTAGCTTTGTCTGTTGTCCTCTAGAAATTCCAAGGTTTAATATTTTTAATGAAACATTCTGCACAGTATATACGTAATCTTTCTGCAACTGCTGTATGTACTTATACTGTAACTACTTGAGAAAATTACACTGGATCTTTACTATGGAAGATAAAGCTATTAATTATAGGATCAGAGAAACTATAGCACCAAGGAATCATGTACCAAAATTAGTTACAAAAGATAAGCAGCTATGCAATTAGATATATTTCAGATCACTTGTGGTAACAGAACTTTAAAAGGCAATATTAGTAACAAACATGCTAAGACAAATCATTCATGACCAATCTTAAGGAGTACAGTGTTAGTTGGGCACCTGTGGCTCAGACCTGTAATCCTAGCTACTCAGAAGGCTGACATCTGAGGATCATATTTCAAAGTCAGCCTGGGCAAGAAAAGTCTGTGAGACTGTTATCTCCAATTAACCCTAAGAAAACTGGAAGTGGTGCTGTGGTTCAAAGTGGTAGAGCAGTAACTTTGAACAAAAGAGCTTAGAGACAGAACCCAGATCCTAAGGTCAAGCCCCATGACAGACAGACAGGCAAGTAGACACACACACACACACACACACACACACACACACGTACAGTGTTGGCCTTGGGTGGTGATACATGTATCTCAGGAAGTAGAAGTAGAAGAATCATGGTCTAAAAATGATTTAAAGCTAACTAAATAACACAAAACTGGCACCATGACGCATATCTGTAATTCTAGCTACTCAGAAGGTTGAGAACTGAAGACCACAGTTTGAAGCCAGCGCAAGCAGAAAAGTCCATGAGACTTTTATTTTCAAGTAATACCAAAGAGCTGAAAGTAGAGCTGTGGCCTAAGTGGTAGAGTACCAGCCTTGAGCAAAAAAGCTGAGGGATGGCAATCAGGCCTTGAGTTGAAGCATCAGTATCAGCACAAAAATAACTACATACATACATATATACATCTCAGTACTGGGAGATGTGGGGGAAGAGAACATAGTGTTAGCTCCATAACCCTCAGGAACAGAAGGGCAGTTTCACTTTGTTGGGGGCTTGAGGATAATATTAGCTGTAGAAGATGAGAAGAAAGACTTGCACAGAGAAGTGCACACTTTGCCATCAAGTAACTGTGAGATCCACCCACTTACTCTTGTAATCTGTTTGGAACTTCTAAAACCATGCCACACTCATATACCCCACTAATATCAATATTAAGCTTTTCTGGATTCTCAGCCAGATCTTGTTCAATTCCTTTGCATAGAAATGCAATCATAGACTTGCTATTCTTGCTTTGATCTTCAATATTCCTCTAAGATATTTGATGAGAATGATAAAGGAGTATTTAGGAATTCATAACCTATACAGCTTTCCTACAACAGTGAGCAACACCAGAAGATAGCAAAGTTCTCCCACTCCAGAGCACTAGGCTTACTGAGGTGCACCACATTAGCTTTCTCAGAGCACCCAGGGAAGGAGCACATGATTCTGGCCCTGGGAGATCCCCAGAGCAGATATCTTCCACCTACATGCTAAGAAGCAGTATGATTCTCCTAGATTGTTCTGTTTTCCCTTGAATTTCTCTTTAAGAAGCTCTAGGTTTGTATGAGATGGAGCAAGTCTCTCCTTTTTGGTGGTAGGCCACCTGGAGTAAAGGAGGCTTCAGTTACTGACCACTGAGAAACATGGTCCATGACTGAGTGACAGAGAATAGCCAGCATCATTCTCTATTGACAAAAGCAGGGAGAGGAGCTGTGGACACCCTGCATATCAGCTTACATTCTAGCTTCTCCATTGCTGGTCTCTATATGTTTCCCTTTCCCTGTGTATTTAAATCTGTAACCTAGTTTAGACCTGACCGTTTGACTTTGGTCTTCATCTGTCCTTGGGAGAACCAGATTGTGAGGTCTGCTTCTAAGGAGAATTACAACGAGGAGCTTTCTTTCCCACTCCAACCTGTCTGTGTCTGGTGTCCATATAGCTACTCACTAACAGAGTAGACTGATGAGACATGATTGTAGAACAAAGCACATGGAAGACTTGGTGAAGGAAAATATATGGGAAATTAGACTTGGGGAAGAAAGATTGTATTACCAGGGATGTTAGGAATTAAACTGGAAATGATCTGGTGAAACCTATCTATAATGATACAGAAAATAGTATAAGGTCATATGAAGAAAAGAAAGGGAAGATGTGCAGTCAAAAATTCAATTAAAGTTCGTTTTTCGACATAACATCTTGTACATCTCATTGTTGCAATGGGTCCACCTGTATCCTTATTAACAATTTTTTTCCCTTCCCCTCCACAAATTATACCAACATCAAATACAGTGAAAACAGGGGTTACTAAGCAACAAAGAAATATCTTACAAATATGTTAGAAACAATAGCAAGAAAGAAAAAACATTTGAGTCCTTATCTTGGGGTTCATTTCACCTAACATCCACTTATCTGACCATTTCTTCTTGTTTCAGACATATACTAGATATTGCAAATAAGGGAAACCATGGAACCTATGTTTCTTTGGGCCTGGCTTACTTCACTTAATATAATTTTTTCCAAGTCTTTCCATTTCCTAACAAATGGGGCAATGTACTCATTAACTTTCCCATGTAATTATAACCCCTCTGTATGGTATTTTCACAATGAAAAAAGTTTACATTGTAAAGCATAAAAAATTCAATTAATATCCTCCAATTTTTTTTAAAAAAAAAGAGACAGCAGCCAAAAACAGATCTGAAAACAACAACAACAACAAAAATGATAGGTGAAGAAAAAAGTATGGTCCAACGTTGATACCTGTGAATCTTGGTAATAGGGCTCATTATACCAGTGTTTCTATTTTGTGTATGTTTGCACTTCTACAGAACAAAGAGGAAGCCATATGCTATGATTTTGACATAGTTTGAGTATGTCTCTCAAAAGTTCCTGTGAAGCTTAGTCTCCAGAGTGGGGACATCAGGGCGTGGTGGAAGCCTTATGAAGTTGTGCCAGTGGAAGTTAATTAGGTTGTGGGGTCACTACCCTCAGAAGGGATTACTGCTACGATCATAGAGTAAACTAGTTCCTGTAAGAGTACTTGTGATAGCTATGTCACCCAATACAATTGGTCCCTTTAGCACACACACAATTACCCATATTCTGCTTGTATACTATATTGTAATGTAGCAGGTAGGTAGGCTACAGCCTCACTAGAAAGCCCAAATCATGCTCTTGAGCCTCCAGAGTTATGAGTCAAGTAAACCTCTTTACTTTATCAAGTATCCAGCCTTACACATTTTCTCATAGCAAGGAAAAAATGTAGCATACATACCCATAGTTTCATACGTGAATATATTTGCAATAATTTCATCCTGGAATACAAATCAAAAATAAATGGAAAGTCGTAGAAAATAGGACTGGAAATTTCTGCAAGTGCCTGAAAAATAATTTAAAATAATGAAAATTTTAATAATAAATTTCTGCAAGGGCCTAACAACTCAAAAAAATCAAACTCTTATCATGTAAATTTTTTCATTGCTTTTGGTATTTGTGCTTAACAAGTTAAATAACCTATAAACAAATTAAGTTACGTATAAACAAATATGTTTGGGAAGGGGGTTTGTCCTGGGGCTTGAATTTAGGGTCTGAGCTCTGTCTGAGCCTCTTTGTGCTAAAGGCTAAAGTTCTACCACTTGAGCTAGAGCGCCACTTTCAGCTTTTTCTGAGTAGATTATTAGAAATGAGTCTCAAAAACTTTTCGGTCCTGGTTGGCTTCAAACCCAGACCCTCAGATCTCAGACTCCTGAGGAGCTAGGATTGCAGGTGTGAGCCACCAGCACCCTGCTCAACTTTCTTTTTTTCTTTTAATTTGCTTGCTATCTTTAAGTAGTTGTACAAAGGAGTTGCCATTCAACAAATCAGTATATGAATACAGTGCTTTATTTATTTTTTTTGTCGGTCATGGAGCTTGAACTCTGGGCCTGGGCACTGTCCCCAAGCTCTTCAGCTCAAGGCAAGTGCTGTACCTCTTGAGCCACAGCTCCCACTTCTGGCTTTTTCTGGGTATGTGGCTCTGAGGAATTGAACCCAGGGCCTCATGCTTCTAGGCAAAGCACTCTACCACTGAGCCACTTTCCCAGGCCAAATACAGTGCATTTTGATCAATGTCATCACTTTCATCATTGTCTTCATCCCTACCTAGCCCAAACCCTCCCTCAATTTTCTTAAATTTGTAGAATATACATTAAATATTATGACTGCATTTCCTCTCTTCCTCTTTTCATTCATCTACATTAGAGTGAAAGATGTTTAAGTTTTAAGTGATCAATTGATTCAGCAAGTTCGTCATTGTAATGAGAAAATTTTCAAATCTTTACTTACAGAGATTTCTACACAGCTACGGTGTCCTACTTTAAAGTCTAAACATGGAAATGAACTTGTTATTCTTACCAGATTTTCATCACTCCAGAACAGTCTCTGACTCTCCCTATGAAAGTCAAATGAGTAGTAGAGTCCATCTATGTTGAAAGTGCCTTCTGGAAGTTGACGAGTGTTTTTGTTTACCTTAAAGAAAATATGACTTAGAATTTTAGTTTCTATTGGTAAGTGGTATAATTGAAAATATATAGGTATGCACATATAACAAACATTCACAAAGGATGAAGTAGCATTTTATAAAATTTCAATTGCCTACCCTAAATTTCCCCAAGTTTCATAAAGAATTAATGCCAAAGACATAAGGTACTATCAGTGAGAGAATAAATTAATCCCTGGGCTCAGCTATTATGAAAAAATGCTTATAAACTTTGAGGATAAAAATCCAATAGAAACAGAATTTTCTTTTAGCAAACTTTGCATTTTCTTCACATATTAAAGAAAAATTATTTGACATCCACTACTATGTCAAACATGGGATAAACCTAGATTTAAATATCACCTTTGGGGGTAAGCCATAGAAGAGAGATTCTGAGCTGGGCTTAAAGTGATGTCTAGATTAAAGGGTTGGAAAGAATGACAGGTTTAAGATGACCAGCAGACAGAAGTGCAGGTTACACAGAGGCTTAAGAAGAATGAGGGCTGCTCACACTCAAACACAGATCCAGATTTGTAGGGAAAAGAAAGATGAGTTTAATTTGTCCATAAGGAATTCATGTATTACCTAGGCCTCCACTTCAATTATAACTGTGTATTTATTCTTTAAATTCTTCCTTTGTTTTTCAAGAACTCAAACACTATTTTCCAAATGTTTGACTTACATTCACTAACCTGTACATAAATCACTTCATTTCAAACAATTAATTTTCTTTAATTTGAAGAATTTCCTCATAGTGTGCAAAAATAAATTTGCTGGTAAGTGAATAAAGAAATGTAAAGATACGGATTATTTACTACATTGAAATCTCTATAGTGAAAGGTGGAGGCTCAATAGTAGAGCAATTTCCTAACCTGTGCAAGACTCTAGGAAGGAAAGAAGAGTAGTAGCACTGAGAAAAATAGCTCAGGGACAGCACCAGGCTCTGAGTTCAAGTCCCAGGCACACACATACATAAATACACACACACACACACACACACACACACACACACACCAAAAACACACCCTTTGTGCTTCAAAGAACACCTATGAGAAAAATAGAAGCTTTGTCATGTGTGATTTAATCATATTTTTCCCATTTTATGCATTGTCTTAAGTACAAAAAATTTTAAGATAAATAAAATACGTAAATAGCCAGTCCATCTATAAAATGATGCCCTGATGACCATCAGAGAAATACAGAGCAAAGCCACAATAAAATACCAGTTTCTTACTCACTTGGGTGACAATAATTCAAACAACAGATAACAAACAAGTGTTGGCAAAATTAGAGAACAAAAGCTGGGAAGGTGGCTCAGTGGTAGAGCACTTGCCTTGCATGCATGAGGCCCTGGGTTTGATACATCAGCACCCCATAAGCAGAAAAAGCTAGAAGTGGTGCTGTAGCTCAAATGGTAGAGCGCTAGCCTTGAGCTGAAGAGCTGAAGGACAGTGCCCAGGCCCAGAGTTCATACCCCACAACTGGCAAAATGAAAGTACAGAACAAAATATATAACTTACTCATCTCTGTGATCAAAATGCAAAATAGTGCCGGTGATTGAAAAACCATCAGTTGTGCCTTGTAAGATTAAACATAGGACTGTCATATTGAAGTCAGGGATGCTGGATCTGACCTGTGCCATCTTGGCCAAGTTGTAGCTGATAGAGTATTGGGTTTAACTGCCATCTTGTCTTAATAGTGGAGGCAGGGAAGTCCCACCTCCAAGGTGATGGGAGTTCCTGAATTCCTAGAGGCAGAGGCGGGGACTTGGACAATAGGTTACTGGACCTGCCAGTCCTAGGTCATCAACTCTCAAGCTTCCTATGCCCCTGTCCCCTGACCTGACTCAACTCAGGTCTGGACCAGCTCAGGCAAGGTACAACATGCCACATGTCTCCTGTCTGCTCTTATCCTGTCTCCTGGCTCTCCTCAAGCCAACATGGCATCCTACCTCAGCTCTCCATTGGAACTGATCTGGGTGGTTGGTATTTTCTGTTCTTTCTTTCCTTTCCTGCTCTCATGGCTCAGTTTTCTGACAGTGTTAAGTGTATTTGTGGGGCTGCAGGTCTTTGTGACAAAAGTCCTCTTGCATTCACTGGCCTAATAAAGCCTCCCAATTCAACCTCTCAAAATGTGGCTTCTCTGCTTTCTTGCCATATAACAATAAGGGCCAGCAATTCCACTGTTAGCTATATGGCCCTGAGAAATAAAAATATGTGTCTGCACAAAAACATGTATAAATAGCAGCATGGTTCATAATAGTTAAGAAGTAAACATACCCCAAATATCTACTAGCTGCTAAAAGGATTAAGGTGTGACATATCCAAGTCTTTCCATTTCCTTGCAAATGGGACATTTATTTGAATTAGGGAACGCGAACAACAGAACAGTGAGACAAAGAACCAATGCAACAGCAATATACACGAGACAATATGTTGGAAATGATCTGTACAACTTCGGAGTATGGAGGGTGGTAGGGTAGGGAAAGTGGGAGAAAAATGAGGGAAGGGGTCACAGTTTGACAAGAAATGTACTTATGATCTTACTTATGTAATTGTAACCCCTCTGTACATTACTTTGACAATTGAAAACAAGAAAAGAATACAAATTTTTTAAAAGTATGGCACATCCATATAATAATGTATTATAATGAAATAGTAATTGCTACTGCAACATAGATGAACCCTGGCAACCTTATAGTAAGCGAAAGAAAACCCAAGTACCAGTAACTCATACTTAAAATTCTAACTACTCAGATGTCTGCGATCTGGGGATCAAGATTCAAAGCAAACCTAGGCAAACAAATTGAGAGACTGTTTTTGTTTTTGGGGGGGTTGGGGGTGGGGATGGGGGTATTAAACTCTGGACCTGGGCACTGTCCCTTACCTCTTCTGCTCAAGGTGAATGGTCTATTACCACGTAAGCCACAGTGCCACTTCTGGTTTTCTGGTGGTTAATTGGAGGTAAGAGTTGCACAGACTCTCCTGCATAGCTGGCTTTAAACCGCAATCCTCATATCTCAGCCTCCTGAGTAAGTAGGATTACACAGTGTGAGCCACCAGAACGCGGCTTACAAACTGAAAGACTCTTATCTCCAATTAACTACCAGAAAGATGGAACTGAAGCTGTGACTCAAGTGATAGAGTGCAACCTTGAGCAAAAAACAGGCCAAAGCTCAAGGGCCTAAGTTCAAGCCCTAGTACTGGAGAGAGGTGTATGAGGGGAGGGGGTAGGAAAGGAAGGAAAGGAGGAAGGGAAAGAGGGAGGAAGGGATGATTGGTTCATGTATTCCTTTACATGAAGCATAAAAACTTACCTTATATACTTCTCTCATAGTTTCTAGAAGAGTTTTAATATTATGGTAACTTTCAGGCAAAAAGAACTGCTGAAAGACTGCTGTTTTAAGCATCTGGACCAGTGTGTTCAGAGAAGATGCTTGCAAGGATGACCAACATTTTTCTGAGGGTATAAAGGCAACCATGTTAAGTAGAGCCCCCTCTTCACTGTCTGAGTCTTCTATGTCAGATATAGGTATATTTTCCATTTCCAGTGGCATAACCCAAAACTATATTTTCTAAGTAGATATTATTCACAGAAGGGGGTAAGGTTTTCCCTGACTGAATAACATAAGAATGAAAAACTCAAATTCAGGATTTGAAGAAATTTGTTAATGGATCATATTTATGGTTAATCAATAGACTATGATTTTCAACCTGATGATTTTTACAGAGGATCTACAAAAGCTGAAAACATACATGTGAATGCATAAAGAATGTCATCAAGGACTGGAAAGGTGGCTCAGTGGTAGAGCACTTGCCTTGCATGCATGAGGCCCTGGGTCCGATTCCTTAGCACCACATAAGCAGAAAAAAAAAAAGCCGGAAGTGGCACTGTGGCTCAAGTGGTAGAGTGCTAGCCTTTAGCTGAAGAGCTGAGGGATAGCGCCCAGGCCCAGAGTTCAGGCCCCACGACCGGACCCTCCCCCCCAAAAAAAAGAATGTCATCAAGGTTCTTTTCAGTCTGTGAAAAATTATACATTATGTTCTCAGACTTTATGAACAACTGTCACACATGGACACATACACTGAAAATGATTACTGTATTTTCATATTTCTGAGATTATGATCACAATTTTGATACAAAAGGTGACTTCTCAGAAAACAGTCCTAAAATGACAGAGTAAATTTCCAAGCTACCAAATTAAAACAGTACTAATGAGATTATATAAAGCCAACAAATTTAGCAAAGTAGGAATTTCCTAAATGGACTCCAGCACATCTGGGTCATTAGTACATGACAAAGTTGAGATTCTGAACTCATGAGAATCAAACAGATCAGGTCATAAATAGGTAGGGACAACTGAGCAGCCCTTTAGGAAAAATAAAATTAAAGATAATTTTAATAAATTTTATTTAATAAAATAAAAGGTAAAATTTCATGTTTAACATAAACATTAAATAGTAAAAATAATAGGAGGAAAGAACAAAAACAATCTGGATACAGCCAGAAGATATTGGAAAGTGAAACGAATGGGGCACAAAAAAAGACACATAGCATGTTCTCATTGATACATGGAGTTAAAATGCTGATCTTCTAGAAGCAGAGAAGACAATTGTGGTTAGCAGAGTCTGGGAAGTGTGTGTTGAAGCAGTGCAGAGATGGGAGTGAGACAAGATGGCTAACCAAGAGAGCCATACAGTTGAGAAGAATAACTTCTCATGTTTCTTTAAGCTGTGTAGTTACACAGCTATTTCAAAATAGCTAGAACAGAAGAGTTTTGAATATTTCTATCATAAAGAAATGACAAATATCTGAGGTGATCATTTTGATCTAGAATGGCAATGGTCTAGAATTGGAAGTTTTACTGATGAAGTTTAAATTGATATTTCCTCTTTCAGGGCTGCCCTGTTGCCCAAGTCAAGAGCTACAAGGCACATAGGTGATCATGTGAATGGGGATCACTAAATTCGTGGGCCCTGTCCTCTGTGAAAGGTCAGTCTCCCAAAATAAATACACCTTCACTTGGATCTTGTAATTTTGCTTCCTAAAATTTTTCCTGCATTTTATACATGTACAAAAATGCTTATTAACATTGTTATGATTACAAGAGTAGATACAACGATCTATAGATGGCACTTCCTTGTAACAAAGAACTCTTCAGTCATTGTTAGAGTTTTGTATATGCTTTGTCCCACAAGAGCTCATGTGTTGGACACTTCTTCCCTCTTATGGCAATGTTAAGGTGATAGGACTTTTAAGCAGTAGGGCCTAGTGGGAGGTCATTGGGGACTCTACCCTTGGAAGATATGAAAGTAGTTACCCTGCAGCCCTTGCTAGTTCTTATAAGAGGGTTGTTATGAAAGTTTGCTGTAGGGCTGGGAAGGTGGCTCAGTGGTAGAGCACTTGCCTTGCATGCATGAGGCCCTGGGTTCAATTCCTCAGCACCACATAAGCAAAAAGAAAAAAGCCGGAAGTGGCCCTGTGGCTCAAGTGGTAGAGCGCTAGCCTTGAGCTGAAGAGCTGAGGGACAGCGCCCAGACCCAGAGTTCTGGCCCCACAACTGGACCCCAAAAAAAAAAAAGTTTGCCGTAGCCAGGCGCCGGTGGCTCACGCCTGTAATCCTAGCTGCTCAGGAGGCTGAGATCTGAGGATCACAGTTCAAAGCCAAACCAGGCATGAAAGTCCATGAGACTCCTATCTCCAATAAACCACTAGAAAACTGGAAGTGGCACTGTGGCTCAAGCGGCAGAGCAGTCACCTTAAGCTGAAGAGCACAGGGACAGCATCCAAGCCCAGAGTTCAATCTCCATGACCAACAATTAAAACAAAACAAAACAAAACAAAGTTTGTTGTGTTCTCTGGTTTTTTGTATCAAGATCTGATCATTTGTTCGCACACATGTCCCTGCCATTGTCACCTGCTGTCATGTGAAACAGCAATGTCAGTTTCATGCCCTTGAACCTTCAAAATAATGATTTAAATAAGCCTCTTTCTTTATAGGTATTCCACCTCAGGTACTTTGTAATGGAGATGAAAAGACAACAAATCTAGCCAATAAAGATTGAGACAGATTGGGTCCTGGAATGGAATAAACCTTGTGGCATACATCAAGTTGTAATAAATAAGTTTCCAGAGAAAAATAGGAATGGTTTCCTACTATGAAAAGGATAACAAAAGAATATTGTGTATATATTCATATACATAAAATATCCAGTTCATATAAGATATTAGCATCTGTAACCAAGAAAAAACTGTAGCTAGGAGAAAACTGGGTGACTTACATTTCATTCTACATAATACTTTGTACCTTTTAAGTATTAGGTCTTCGACATTAGGTTAAACTAGAAAAAAATTATCACATAAAATTGAATAAACTAAACAGTAATAAAAAGTAACATTGGCATCACTTCTGGTCAAATATTTAAAGTTTAAAAACAACTTAAAGTTGTAAAGTACAGATTTCTTCTCATTGGATACTTGACAGTTAACAACTTGTGATGTCAAATTACATCTAAATCTAAGAACTGCACTTGTTTGTATGATAAACATAACGATTCTAATTGCTTTAGATTAACTTTTGCAAACATTCACAATCCCTGTACTCAAATACATGTCCAAAATTTGGTACAATTTTTACTTCAATTTTTCTCAATTGAGTTTATAGACTAAGTGACATAAAACTTACTCAGGACTTGCAGAGATTTTTGACTCATTTTACAAATGGCTTCTGCAAATGGAATCACCAGGCTCTGCGAGTTCATGGTATCACTCATCAAAGGACATTCAGAAAGTAGGAGGAAAACCAACAAAGCTTCTTGGTGTGGAGAATGACTTGGGAGAGCTTTGAGCAATCTTTCTGCCAGACAGGTTCTTATCTGTGATCAAAACAGGATCAAGGACAAGGGCCCAGGTTATGTGAAATATTACATACTTTAACAAGGTAATTATGAGATCAGAAGTTTCATTCTGGGGGTGGATCCAATAGAATAACCATTGAGTCTTCTAAAGCCACTACTGAAACCCCATCATTCCTGAGAACAGCAGTATTTGTGAGATGCTACTCCATCTTATATTGAGGTCCATGAAAGAAATAGAGTGAAACCAAATGTTCACGGACATACAGAGTGAATTGAAATACTCAAGACTAATATAAAATGTTGCAAAACCAACATTGTGAGCTAAGGACAGTGCAATGTACCTATAGTCACACATGCTCAGGAGGCTAAGAAGGAGGATATCTTGAACCATTAGTTCAACATAATGAGATCCTGTCTCAAATAGAAAAACAAAGGCTTGGGCTGGAAAGGTGGCTCAGTGGTAGAGCGCTTGCCTTGCAAGCCTGAGGCCCTGGGTTCGATTCCCCAGCACCACATAAGCAAAAAGAAAAAAGCTGGAAGTGGCGCTGTGGCTCAAGTGGAAGAGCGCTAGCCTTGAGCTGAAGAACTGAGGGACAGCGCCCAGGCCCAGAGTTCAGGCCCCACAACCGGACCCAAAAAAACAAAAGAAAAGAAAAACAAAGGCTCCACCTCTAATCCTAGCTTCTCAGGAAGTTGAGATGTAAGGCTCACCGTTTGAAGCCAGGCAGGAAAGGCTGTGAAACTCTTATCTCCAATTATCTCCAATTAACCAGCAGAAAACTGGAAGCGGGGCTGTGGCTCAAAGTGGTAAAGTGCTAACCTTGAGCCAAACATCTCAGGGATGGCAACCAGGCCCTGAGATAAATAAAAGGAGAAAAGGAAAAGCAAATAGGGCACCTATGACTCACACCTGTAATCCTGCCTACTCAGGAGGCTCAGATCTGAGGATCATGGTTCAAAGACAGCCCAAGCAGAAATGGCTGTGAGACTCTTATCTCCAATAAAGTCTCAGAAAAATAACTTCCAAAAAATAACTATAGCTAAAAGGGTTGGGAGTATGGCTCAAGTGGTAGAGGACCTGAATAGTAAGCACAAACCCTGAGTTCAAACCCCAATACTACCAAAAAAAAAGTAAGAGAAAGGGAAAGGGAAGGAAGCAACAATTTTCCCAGTACTCAGAGAGCTTTACTGCCAGGAAGGAAGCCAGTCACTCAGACTGCTCACATCACCAATATCATAATATTAATAGGTAGGGTCTTTTATGAATGATTAGGTAATAAGGACAGAAACTTTGTGAGAAGGATTAGTGCCCTTATAAATGAGATCCAAGGGGTCAGGTCCAGTGGTGCACACCTATAATCCCAGCTACTTAGGAGGTATAGATAGGAGGATAGTGATTTGGATTCAAGTTGGAGGAAAAAGTAGTGACACTATATCTGAAAATTAAAGCAAAAAGGGCTATAGGTATGGCTGAAATGGTAGACTAACTGCCTTCCAAGCAAGAAACCCTGTACTGCCAATAATAATAACAACAACAACAACATCCAAGACAGACCTCTATTCTCTTTTGCTATGAAAGTATCCAACAAATAGATGACTACAGTAGATGTAGTCATCTATTAATCAGAAAGTAGGCCCATATCAGATCAAATCTGCCTATATCTTGGACTTTCTCACCTTCCAGAAAAGTGGGAAGACAATTTTCATTTTTTATAAACCATCCAGACTATGATATTGTTACAGCAGTCTTATCTGATATCCTGATTATCTAGCTACTGTTAACTCACATCTCTTTAGTTCCCATGTACTCAAACCTAAATTGTGACCAACCTAAAATCTATTCAAACTATGGAACTTGAAAAGATTAACTAAAAATGTGACTGAAGAGAGGGAATGGGGTTGGAGACATGGTTCAGGTGGTAGAGGGCCATTCAATGAGTGAAAGTGTCTGATAACTGAGTTCAAGCCCTGGTCTCAGACAAGAGAGACAGGGAGAGAGAGATGGTGGAGAGACAGAGACAGAGACAGGGAGAAAGATGAATCAGTAGCAGAGATTCATCTCAAACAGATTTGTGACTGATCTCAAAATAGATAGTGGGTCTTTCAATATCCCTGCCCAGGACAAGCATCCTGCTTTCCAATACATTTACTGTTCATTTTACTAGAGAATATTTACCTTCCACACTCTGTTTTTCACATACTAGAAATTAAAACACTCTATCCATTGAACATCTAATGAGTTAAGAAGAAAACAAATGTCAACAGCTAATATAGTGTCACGATATAGAATAACCTCATAATAAACAATAGCACTATGCTTTAACCTCAATCATAGACCCATCTCCCAGCTTCCAGCTAAACTAACCTACAATTGCAGATGTTCCTGTAAAGAAATTCTATTGTTATTTATAAGCAAGATTAATATTGGCTATTACCATGGAAGAAATCCATTCAATTTGTGTTAACTTCTTGAAGGTATTTCTTGCCCTTTCTAAGGCCACATCAATGGAAGTGGTTCCTCCGACTACTCTATGAATACAAGAAATGTAAATAAATAAATAAATAAGTAAATAAATGTGAATTTCAGTAGATGAAAAAGATATTTCTAATTCCCACACCATTATTTTTTGTTATCATAACACACGTAAGAAAGAATTTTTTGTCATAAAACATGCCTCTTTTTTTTCAAAATAAGTTAACCTGGCATAAAAAAATATATATAAACTTTATATTTTGATTGTTAAGAAAAATATTGTAGATAAAACCAAACATTGGTGGTTCACAGGAACACACCATCACACAAATATTTCTTGATAATGCATTATTTGAAAAAAACCAATTGTTAAAGCTTGTTGAGTGCTAGGTCGCGATATACTACAGATCACACTGATTTATAAAGCACTAGCTTGGGCAGTCTTTATGGGAGAGGGCTACAGACTTGATGACCACAGGGCCAATTAATAAATACTCCCAGTAGTTCAAAACAGTAAGGAAAAGGGGGTTATTTTGGTTGTTGTTGTTGTTGGTTGTGGTGGTGGTACTAGAGTTGAAGCCTGATCTCAGGGCCTGGGCACTGTCCCTGAGCTGGCTTACATAAGGCTAGCACTTTACCACTTGAGCTACACCTCCACTTCATGCTTTTTGGTAGTTTAATTTGAGGTAAGAGTCACATGGACTTTCCTGCCTAGGCTGGCTTTGAATTGATATCCTCAAATTTCAGCCACCTGAGAAGCTAGGATTACAGGCATGAGCCACTGGGGCTCAACAAGGAAAAAGAGTTTGAGGTGAGAGATTCAAAGACTCTTAGTGCTCAAACTGCCTGCTGGCATTTTCTGTTGAAATTAATGAATCATTCAAGTTTCTATAATGAACACTTCAAGCCACTTGCCTAGACAAGAGTCTCCCAAATAAGAAAATCACTATTAGGTCATTAGCTCCCTGCTAATGAAAACAGTGTCATTTGATATAAATAGAAATGGTGATATGTATAAGTAGTAGCTTAAATTTTCAGTTTCCAAGCTGCCAGGAGAGAATATAACATGTGTACCACCATCTTCTGAAAGAATGAGCCAACCTGAAGCCAAGCTATCAAGGGAGGGTCAGACCTGGCCAGAGGAAGGGAAAGCAGAATGGGTTGCAGGGGCTACAAACAGTTCAGCAGCTAGTCATCATATTCCTCACTCAGACACCCAGGGGCCATACTGGAGAACTCAAAGGAAGAGGGAAAATAAAAGCAAGAAAGGAATTGATTAATCTAGGAAAATCAGATTATTAAACCAAATAAAATAAAATTTAATTTTCCTCTATAACAAGTTAAACACAAGATCTCTTTTCCTTATTGATCCTATATAGTAGGAAATGTAAAGAAAACTCTTGGTTTCTAAGTACTAAAGCCATGTTGAATTGTTCAGTTGTAGCTACAAAGAAGCATCATTCTCTCCAATCAGACAATACAGGAAAACAGTAGATGAGGTTAATTAGAATTACAACCTGTGGTGGGCTATTCAGAGATCACTTTATAAAATTGAAGAATTCTAAAGCACTCTACAGAGTTTTCTATGTTGAACTCTTTAGACACTGACAACAAAATTCATGTACTAGCTAGGCACCGATGACTCTCACAATCCTAGCCACTCAGGAGGCTGAGATCTAAAAGTCAACATTCAGTGTAAGCCTGGGCAGACAAATCAGAGACTCTTTAACTCCAATTAACCAGCAAAATGCCCTAAGTGGAGCTGTGACTCAAGTGGTAGAGCATCAGCATTGAGTTAAAATGAAACAAGCAAAAGCACCCAGGCCCTGAGTTCAAATTCTAGTACTAGCTCATGCACATGCACACATGGATATACACACACAAATTCATGTTAGACAAATTGACTCTAATTGTTTTACTTTACGTGTTTCCCAGAATTGTACTCATAAAATGACATGTTCAACTGAAACCTCTATTTACGACTACTTATAGAGAATGAAAGATACTACTGAGGGTTTTAGATTTATTTATATATTTGAATATTTTAGATAAGGGCTCACTATGTAGCCCCAGCTGGCCTCAAGTTTACATTCTTCCTGCCTCATCCTCCCAAGTACTAGAATTACAGATGATTGCTACTATGCTTGATGTCCCAAGGTTTTGTTTTGTTTTGTTATTGTGAAAATACCGTACAGAAGTGTTACAATTATATGGGCAAGGTAATAAGTATACTCCTTATCAAGCATTGTTGCCTCCTCCTTTGTTTCCCCTTCCCATCCCTTCCCATCTCCCCCTCACCCTCCCCACCCCCCCAGCCAAAGTTGTAAAGCTCGTTTTTCAACATAACAACTTGTATATGTAATTGTTGCAATGGGTACACCTGTATCCCTATTTAAGTTTTTTTTCCCCTTCCCCTCCACAAATCATATGTCCCAATGTTTTAAATGAAGGTATATCTCATACAAGTATTACCTTTTCTTCAAAAAACTTCCAGTAAGACAAGCAGGAGATGAAAATATCACTGTAATTTCTCTGTGAAAGGAATAGCAAGTGTTATATAACAATGTACTGTAAAGCATACTTCATTTAACTTGTGTCTCAGTGAACAATTCATGTCATGGGATCATTATTGAGACTCAATTCTAATTATTGCCAAATCGCACCACAACCCTTAACACTAGATTGGATCAAATCATCTAGATTTGAATAAAACTCACCATTCTCAAGACCAAATCTGCAGATCTCCACAGTATAAACTGTGGACATATGATTTACAAGAGGTTTTGTGAGCTTCATATTTTCCTCCATTTATTCCTGCATCTCTCTCACCTATGAGATACCTACAATAGTGTATACTCTTGAATATCTCTTGTTTATATTAAATAAAAGTTGAATGCCTCAGGAAACCATTATCAATTCAAACTAAAACTACAGTAGAAAAAAATCATGATCAAAGTGGAAATGTTTTCACAAGCCAATCCCTTTCCCTTATGGTTAGGATGAAATGACCAGCACCTCAGAAATGAAGCACTGATAACTTATCAGAGAGTCACCTTTTAGCCAAGTTATGTTCAACACTTCCTCTTGTCACTGCTATCCATTTTTTCTCCAGAGATGGTTTAATCTGGCTTATTTCTGGCAGTGTTTTCTTAGATACACCTCTGGATCTAGCATTCTGCAAGGAAAAATAAAACAAGATGATATGAAAGGCACATATATGCTAACTGATCATAAATAAAGCATCTGGCATGGGTAATACACTTGTCTTGCTCTTTCAGGCAGGCTTTTGGCTGGTTGACCGCTGACATCAAACTAGCCTAGCTCTTCCACTTCCTGTTTTTCCTTCCTTCTCTCCCTCCCTCCCTGTCACTCACCCTCCCTCCCTTTCTCTCCTTTTCCCCTCCCTCCTTTCTTTCTGGCCTCCAACTTCTATGCTCTGAAATCTAGAGGAAACAATTTTTCTGAGGAATATAAGCTGCCCCACATACCTTCTGGATTGTCACAAAGTCAGCATACATCCCAGCAAAAATGTGTTTAATCTGAGTATTCTCAAGGTCTGAAAAAAGTCAGAAATTATACCAAGAATTATGAGGAAAGAGTTACTCTGATGTGCAACAAACCCAAAAGTATTCATTTATTGGCTATTTATACTCCTCTCAAGTTTGAATAGAAACAGCACAAAAGATTAAATGTTATGCAGGCATTCCATTAAAATTTTAGATGGCTCACACCTATAATCCTAACTGCTCAGAAGGCTGAGATCTGAAAATTATGGTTCAAAACCAGACTGACAAGGAAAGCCCATGGGACTCTTATCTCCAATTAACTATCAAAAAAGCTGGAAGTATACCTGTGGCTCAGGTGGCAGAGTGCTAGCCTTAAGCACAAAAGTTCAGGGACACTGTCCAGGCCTGAGTTCAAGGTCCAGGAAAGGAAAAAATAAGTAAATAAATGAATAAATAAGTAAGTTTTCTTGCCTAATTAATCTAAGCAGATATGCCTTAGAAGAGTTTTGCTTAAATATATGCAAGTGATGCTTACTAAGATACAGTCTTCATAAATTCTGATTCAGAGCCAGTCTGGGCAGACAAATCTGAGACTTTTATCTCCAGTTTACTAGGAAAAAGCTGAAAGTAAAGTTATTGCTCCAATCATAAAGTGCTAGCCTTGAATGAAAAGTCAGACAAGAACACAAGACCCTAAAAGTTAAAACCCCAATATTCACACACACACACACACACACACACACTTAAGTAATCAACTTGGGCCTTTCTTTTATATTACTTTAATCTTTAGAAATGATTAGCGATCAATCCATGCTGCATTAAAAATGTACAACTTTACAATAAAAGTGCAAGAAGAATCATAGGGACATGGGTTCCTTTAAAGAGAAGCTGAGGAATAGTTCTGCTTTGGTAATATCTACAAAAACAAAATCATGAAGAAGGGAGCCCAGGCATACCATTAGCAGAAATCAGGCAGGTCATGTCACAAGTATCTCTTGGGTCCTCTGATTGGGTTGGGTTGCTTGAGTGATTTGGTCCACGACCAAAAGATACTACCTGACCAGTAGTGTAGACATAGGCAAGGGTGTGGTAACTGTGGGAGAGAACACACTTTATTGAAGATCCAGGTACTCACTGCTCCAGGAAAGACAAAGTGACAGGCTTATCTTTACTAACAGCCCAGAGTGCTTATCAGGTTCCATGGACACAGGGTACCAGTGATGTGGCTAAGCAAGTGCTGAATAGTAACACATTAGCATTATGAAAAAGAGACTATCAATGATGAGTTTTTACCATGAATTCTATCATGAGTTTTAAATGCAAATGCAAGCCAGACACCAGTGGCTCCCATCTGTAATCTAGTATTCAGAAGGCTAAGATTTAAAGATCACAATGTGAAGCCAGCCTGGGCAGGAAAATCCATAGGATTCTTATCTCCAATTAACCACCAAAAGCCAGAAGTAGTAGTGCCAGGCTTGGGCAAAAAAGCTAAGGGACAGTACCTAGGCACTGACCCAGTACTGGCATAAAAAAGGAAAATAGATTGAGTTGGATACTTAAATACTCCAAAAACCCTCATAATTAAGTTACACAAAAGTGTTGATATGTATTCAAATATTCATCATGTTCTATATACACAAAATTCATTTTATCTTATCAACTCAAGCAAGCAAATTTTATTTTGGTGACCAATCTAACCACACCCCCAGTCCTGATTATACACAGTATATATCTAAGAATTTCTCATTAAGTAAATTGAATTGCAAAGATCAAGATCATAAAATAAAAAATTGAAACCAAATTTAAAGTATATTCAAGGGAAGTAAATTTCCAGGGTTGGGGGTGCTCTATATAAAGAGTAGCCATGTATTTTAGGGTTTGGTGGTTTGATTAAATTCCAGGTGAGTACTTTATCAATAAGGATTTAAAGAAAGTAAAAAAAAGAAAAGCTGTTACCTTCCACAATCTATCTGAGAAACACGGCCATCCAGTCTTTCTACAAGCTTTGGTCCTCTCACCTGGGCAGAGGACTCATATCCCAGCTGTCCAAAGCTATTGTCTCCAAAGGTGAACACTTTCTCATCCTGTTCACAATGAGGGAGTCGGGTTAAATTTATGCTAAAAACAGTAACTCAGACTAGGAGATATCTATTTATATTTATATCTAAATATAATATATAGATATATCTATACAGATATATCTATCAATAGATATAGATAGATATACAGATAGATGAATCTATCTATATATCATATATATCATAGATATATATATATAGAGAGAGAGATAGAGAGAGAGATGATAATGGTATGATCACTGGCACTGGAAAAAAAGTATCTGATAGCTAACAAATTAAATATATCATAAGAGAGTTAATAGGAAAGCAACATGTGAAACATCAGTGCCATAGAAATAAATTTGAAGTCTTTATTACTTCTTACAGTAAATGTAGTGTTAACATATTAAATATCCTGAAGCTTTGACATTTCCATTAAAAACCAGGCCCTTTGTAATGTCACAGCAGCATCAGGGCTGTTAATGTAATATTTATGCTACATTCTTGGGGCTGGGAAAGTGGCTCAGTGGTAGAGCGCTTGCCTTGCATGCATGAGGCCCTGGGTTCGATTCCTCAGCACCACATAAGCAAAAAGAAAAAAAGCCAGAAGTGGTGCTGTGGCTCAAGTAGTAGAGCGTTAGCCTTGATCTGAAGAGCTGAGGGACAGTGCCCTGGCCCAGAGTTCAGGCCCCACGACTGGACCCCCCCCAAAAAAAAATATGCAACATTCTTTTTTTTCTTTTCTTTCTTTCTTTTTCTTTTTTGTGTGCTCGTATTGGGACTTGAACTCAGTGCCTCAATCTCTCACTTTTTTTTCACTCAATGTTGGTACTCTACCACTTGAGCCAAGTCTTTACTTTGGGCATTTTGGTGGTTAATTGGAGATAAGCATCTATGGACATTTCTTCTGAGGCTAGATTTGAATGAAGAACCTCAGCTCTCAGTCTCCTGAATAGCTAGAATTAAAGGCATGAGCCACGAGTGTCTTGCTATGCTACACTCTTGAAAACTGCTAAAGAAGTTGATCTGGGCCTTCACTACACACACATAAGGCTAATTATGTGAGGTAAGACAAGTTAGTAATGCTTTCACAGAGTACACATGTATCAAAAACCATGCTGTGCCCCCACATGCATATGAATTTTGCTAATTATATCCCAATAAAGACAAGGAGAAAAAGAATTTGATACTAAACAAGTGTATGTTGAATGAATTGATGGACATATTTATTGGTTCAAGAGTAGCCCTACAATTTAAGTATACTATTTAACCTTGGTATTTAAATTGCTTTATTTATTAGAGTATATTTTCTGAAAATACTCTCTTCAAAAGATGGTTCTATAATTTAAAACAACTCTATTTTTTTGTCAACTAAACCATAGTTCAAAGAATTTATGGTTTCCTAATTTAAGACATGACTGTAAGACAGGAAAAATCATTTGGTGGTCTGGTAGTTGAGCACTTGCCTGGCATGCATGAGGTCGTGGGTTTGATTCCCAACAAAAAAACAATCAATAAGTAAACACATTTAAAAATCATTTAGGTTATACAATGTTTTTTGGAGGTTGGGGAATCAAATCTACCATCTATGCTGTTCATCCTTGGTTCATGTCCATAATCTTAGCTACTTGGGAAGCTGAAATTTGTAGGATTGAGGTTTGGGAATAGCTTGAAACAAAAAATTCACTGTACTTCATTCTCCAAACTAGACAGCAAAAAGCAGGGTTGGAAACATGGTTGTATTGGTAGTGTCAGCAGTGAGCAAGTAAGCCCAACAAGCGCAAGATCCAGGTAAACTCCAATGCTGAAGAAAATAAAAATAGGTAATCACTCTACCACTGAGTCATAGCCCCAACCCTGGAGTAGAAGAAATCTTTAAAACATTTCAACCATACACATAGTCTTCAAGTCTATTTCTCATGATGATTGAAAAAAAAATCCATCCCAAATAGCATCACATTTCAGATTACCTGGGTTAGTACTGCAGTATGCTCATGTCCACAGCTGATGTAGGTCACACCCAGAGTCTTCAGGGCGCCAACTGAAAGGGGCTTGTAGCTTTGTACTGTTGAAAGAAAGAAATCTCAAAGTATAAACAGGCGGAGGGGTCACAAGGTCCAAGCTAGCCTGGACGCCATGGGTGAGACCCTATGTCAAAAAGAAAGAAAGAGAGAAGAAAGAAAAGGAAAAGAGAGGGGGATTAACAGACCCAAATTTCATGAGTGTTTATGTTTTTATATATTTTTCAACATAGTTTACACAGTGTGTGTGTGTGTGTGTGTGTGTGTGTGTGTGTGTGTGTGTGTGTGTGTGTCTGTTGATAAACTGGGATTTGAATTCAGGAACTGTTAACTTTCTTACCAAGGCTGGTTTCTCTACCACTTTGGCCACAGCTCCACGTTAGGCTTTTGGCTTGATAACTGGAAATAAGAGTCTCACAGCCAGGTGCTGGTGGCTCACACCTGTAATCCTAGCTACTCAGGAGGCTGAGATCTGAGAATCTGGGTTTAAAGCCAGCCCAGGCAGGGAAGTCTGTGAGACTCTTACCTCCAATTAACCACCAGAAAACCAGAAGTGGTGCTGAGGTTCAAGTGGTAGAGTGCTAGTCTTGAGCTGAAGAGCTCAGGGACAGCACCCAGGCCCAGAGTTCAAGCACCACAACTGACAAAAAAAAAAAAAAAAGAGTCTCACAGATTTTGGGGCTGGGAAGGTGGCTTAGTGGTAGAGTGCTTGCTTACCATGCATGAAACCCTGGGTTCAATTCCTCAGTACCACATAAACAGAAAAGGCCAAAACTGGCACTATGGCTCAAGTGGTAGAGTGCTATCTAGCTTTGAACAAAAGAAGCTAGTATATGTCTGAGACAAGCAGAAATAGTTAGACAAGTTGATGTTAGGCGAAATAAACCCCAAGATAAAGATTCAAATGGTTTTTCTTTCTTGCTATTTTTTCTAGCATATTTATAAGATGATTTGTTTGTTGCTTTGTATGTCCCTCCCCCACAGTATAACCCCTTCTTTTACTGTATTTGATGTTGGTATAATTTGTGGAGGGGAAGGGAAAAAACAAATTGTTTAAATAGGGGTACAGGTAGACCCATTGCAACAATGAGATGTACAAGACTTTATGTCAAAAAACAAACTTTACAACTTTGGCAAGGGATGGGGGAGGATATGGGTGGGCAGGGATTTTAAGGGGAAACAAAGAAGGAGGCAACAATGCTTGATAAGAAATGAACTCATTTCCTTACTCATGTAATTATAACTCCTCTATGCAGTATTTTCACAATAAAAAAGTATTAATAAAAAATACATATAAAATAAAAAGAAGCTCAGGGACAGTGCCCTGAGTTCAAGCCCTAGGACTAGAAAAAGAAAAAGAATCACAGATTAGCCAGGGGCTGGTGGCTCATGCCTATAATCCTAGCCACTAAGGAGGCTGAGATCTGAGGATCACAGTTCAAAGCCATCCCAGGCAGAAAAGTCCCTGAGACTCTTATCTCCAATTAACCACTAGAAAACCGGAAGTGGTGCTGTGGCCCAAGTGGTAGAGCACTTGCCTTGAGCTGAAGAGGGGAGGGATAGTGCCCAAGCCCAGAGTTCAAGCCCCATGACCGATAGAAAGAAAGAAGGAAAGACAGAAAGAAGAAAGAATCATAGATTTTTCTGCCAGGGCTGGGTTGGAAATGTAATCCTCAGATTTCAGTCTCCTGAGTAATTAGGCTTATGCACCAACAGTCCCTATCTCATTAATATTTTTCATGAAGAATCAGAAGTATAGAACAAGAAAAGCTCTTCTTTGGCAAAAGAAAAGCTGTCCTTTTCATTTATATCTGGAAGCTATTTGTCCTTATGATGCCTAAGGCCATTGACCAAGAAAACTAAACATCAAGATCTCATTCCCAATAATATAGTCATTATTTTATATTCATTTCAGTGTTCTGTAGATATAGAGTAAAGAGCACCTACTCAGACGGGCACTGGTAGCTCATGCCTGTAATCCTAGCTACTCAGGAGGCTGAGAACTGAGGATCGCAGTTCAAAGCCAGCCTGGGCAGGAAATGTCTGAGAAATTCTTATCTCCAGTAAACCACTCAGAAAACTGGAAGTGGCACTGTGGCTCAAGTGGTAGAGCACTAGCCTTGAGCTGAAGGGCTCAGGGACAGCGCCCGGGCCCAGAGTTCAAGACCCAGGACTGACCAAAAAAAGAGCACCTATTCATGTTACAAGAGTTAAATAAAATGAGATGTCAGGCTTCCCGTGGTACTGTCAAGTGATACCTGTTATTATGTTAGCTGAATGGAAAGAACTGAAGAGGTGAACAGGGAAGGATGCGGTCTTGAAGAAGACTCCTTGGTAAATTTAATTTTTAAAGGAATTATTGTTGAGAGAAATTTTCTTTGTCTGGAGGAACCTGTCATTTTCCCTAATATTTTCAATCTTAGAATCCAGTGCTTCTCAAGCTTGTCAGCACATTGGAATCACTTAGCAGGGGTAGGGAATGTCTAGCCCTTGCTATATGACAGGACAGACATACTTTCTTCTTGACTGCCAAAGGCCATCTGTCTCTATTGAAATTTCATATGGCCCATAATGATATTATAAATATTCTAAAGGACCAGGCACCTGTGGCTCTTGCCTGTGATCATAGCTATTCAGAAGGCTGAGCTGAAGTCAAAGTTCAAAGCCATCCCAAGGAAGGAAAGGCTGTAAAACTCTTATCTCCAATTAACTACCAAAAAAGCTGAAAATGGAAGTGTGGCTCAAGTGCTAGAGAGCTGACCTTGAGCAATAAAAGCTCAGAGACAGTGCCCAGGCCTTGAGTTCAAGCCCCAGCACCAACATTAAGTGCATAAATGAATAAATAAACATCCAGTTGGATCTTAGTAAGAAAATAGTTTCCTATCCTTCATAGGGGATCCTCAACTATGACTGGATGCTTGCCTTTCACTCCCAGAAATTCTGATTTCATTGATATGGGAGACTTGTTTTTACTTTATTTTTATTTTTTGAGATAGAGTCACTATGCTGCTGAGGCTGGCCTCAAAGTGGAAATCCTCCTGCCTCAGCCTCCTGGGTGCTGGAATTACAGATATGCACCACCGTAACTGGTTGCCACCAAGACTGTTAAAGGTATTCTAATATAGGCAGAATAATAGCATCCTAAAGAATAATAGTCTTAGCTGGGAGCTGATGGCTCACTCATGTATCCTAGCTACTCAGGAGGCTGAGATCTGAGGATTGTGGTTCAAGGCCAGCCTTTGAAAGAAAGTCCATGAGACTTATCTCCAGCTAACCAACAAACAAAACAGGAAGTGAAACTGTGGCTTAAGTAGTAGAGCACTACTTTTGAGCAAAAAGGCTCAGGGGCAGTGCCAAGGCCATGAGTTCAAGCCCCTGGACAGGTACACACCAAAAAAAATCATCATCTATTTACCAACACCAGAGCCTGTGAATCTGTTCGATTATGTAGCAAAGGTGAGAGGAGGAAGCAAACAGAATTGCAATTGCTAATCTGTTGACTTTACAAGAGAGAAATTATCCTAGATTATTCAGTGGGGGTTTAATATAATTATAAGGTTCTCTTCACTGAAGAAGGAGGCCCAAGTGTTAATGTCAGAAAAATAAGACCAAAGAAGACTAAATCAGCAAATGCTAGTTTTGGAAAAGGGAGAAGAGTCAACTTATACAAGTAGTGTCTAGAGCATAGAAAAGACAACAATAATTCTCCCCTGGAAACTCTGAAGAGGAATGTAGCCCTGCCAAGCACCATGACTTTAGCCCACTGAGACCCATGTCAGACCTCTAACTGCTAGAACTAAAAGCTAATAAATCTGTATTGTCCTAAGCCACTGTCACTAATATCACTAATACCACTTCCCACATGATGGTAAATTAAAAGAAAGTGTAGGAATGACTTTGACCCATGAGAACATCCTTTGCCAGGTTGGTTTCTAGTTAAAAATAAAAACTAAATTTCTTGCTAATAAAAGACAATATGCTCCCAATCCATGGGCTTTCTATTGATCTTGCTAGCTATGTCCTTTGCCATGCAGAAGCTCTGCAATTTCATGCAATCCCATTTGTCCAACCTTTCTTTGAATTGTTGTGTTTCCGGGTCTCTATTAAGAAAATTTCGGCCTGCGCCAAGGAGACCTAGGGTTTCTCCTATTCCATCCTGTAATGTTTTCAGAGTGTCTGCTTTGACTCCAAGGTCTTTGATCCATTTTGAGTTGATTCTGGTGCAGGGTGAGATCTTCACTAGCCATGGACAAGGGTCTCATATCTAAAATATACTTGGAACTCAAAAAATTAAATCCCCCAACAACAAATCCTCAAAGAAACAACTGCCCAATAAATAAGTGGGCTAATGACTTAAAGAGAAACTTCTCTGAAGAAGAAAGAAGGATGGCCAATAGACACATGAAGAAATGCTCAACCTCCCTAGCCATAAAAGAAATGCAAATCAACACAAAATTGAGATACCACCTCACCCCAGTTAGAATGGCAAAAATCAAAAACTCTAATAACAACAGATGCTGGAGGGGATGTGGACAGAAGGGAACCTTACTTCATTGTTGGTGGGAGTGTAATCTTGTTAAACCACTTTGGAAAGTAGTATGGAGGTTCCTCAAAAGACTCCACATAGAGCTCCCCTATGACCCAGCTGTCTCACTTTTGGGCATTTACCCAAATGTTTACAAACAAGACCACACTAAAGCTACCAGCACAACTATGTTTATTGCAGCATTATTTACCATAGATAAGATCTGGAACCAACCCAGATGCCCCTCAGTAGATGAATGGATCAAGAAAATGTGGTATATATACACAATGGAATTCTATGCCTCCATCAGAAAGAATGACATTGCCCCATTTGTTAGGAAATGGAAAGACTTGGAAAAAATTACATTAAGTGAAATAAGCCAGGCCCAAAGAAACATAGGTCCCATGGTTTCCCTTATTTGCAATATCTAGTATATGTATGAGTCAAGCAGAAAAGGTCAGATAATGTGATGTTAGGAAAATGAACCCTAAGATATGTATTTTAAATGATTTTTCATGCATTTGTTTCTAACACATTTATAAGATTATTTCTTTGTTGCTGTGTATGTCTCTCCCCCACAGTATAACCCCTGCTTTCACTGTATTTGATGTCGGTATAATTTGTGGAGGGGAAGGGGAAAAACAAGTCATTTAAATAAGGATACAGGTGGACCTGTTGCAACAATGAGAAGTACAAGTTGTCATGTCGGAAACGAACTTTACAACTTGGGGCGGGGGAGGTTTGGATGGGGGAGGGGAGGGAGGATGGGAAGGGATGGGAAGGGGAAGCAAAGGAGGAGGCTACCATGCTTGATAAGAAATGTACTCACACCAAATGAACAACGGATATTGGATTTAGAACATTGCATACAGGATATTGAATTTGGAACAGCCCAGATTCATGACAGAAACATCAGAAAATTTTTAGACTTGGCTTAAAAATAAAGTTAAAAATTTTCTCTCTTGTGGATGGCTATTATACAAAATCTTCATGACATTATGAAAATTCCCTAGTTGTTCTCTCTTTTTTATATTCCTCCCTGCAGTTAATTTTAAACAAAATCTTCCAAAAGATAGCTTATAAGTTGTGACTGTGATTTAAATTACAAGAAACACTTTGTGGCTGACTCCATAACTTAATCAGCAATATGAACTGGACAATTCCCGTTCAGTAAGTGTGTTTCAGTCTCTTTGATGTTTACTGTATAATTTCTCTGTCTCAAATGCAAGATGGTGAAGACTTTCATCTTTCCTCCTTCCTCATTATTTGTGATTCATAGGTTTGGGTTGAAAGTATTTTTAGCAGAATTTTTTGGAAAAAAGTATTTAATGTTGAAATGTTTACTATAGGTTGTTAGACTATATACTATATAGGCTATATACTGTACTATACTGATTGTTATATATTAACCAAAATAATTTCAATTATGAAATGTTTGTAAACGTTGCATTTAATTTTTTCTATATAAAATTACTTTTCTAAAAACTAAAAAAAAAAAGAAATGTACTCACTATCTTGCCCATGTAATTGTAACCCCTCTATACAGTATTTTCACAATAAAAAAATGAAAAAAAAAGACAATATGCTTACCTTGGACATTCTTGCTTGTGACAGCCAACTGACCAGCCTTGTTGCTGCCCCAGCCAAAGCAAGTCCCAGAGAGACACAGGGCAAAGCTATGAGCTCCTCCAGCTGCCACCTGAGCCACAGGTATTCCTTCCAGGGACCTCACCCTCTCAGGGGTGCTTTGCATAAGGGCATTCTTCCCCAGGCCCAATTGGCCTTCGCTGTTCTTTCCCCATGAAAAGACTTGGCTGTCTAGCAAAGCAAAGAGAAATTGTGAATTGCACACATACTGGAATACCAAAGGGGAGAAGAAATCAATGCCTTTTACTGTTACTTTTCAGATAAGATCTCACATTATTTTTTGCCTTAGCTGGCCTCTAACTCTAAATCTTCCTACCTCTACTTCCAAAGAAGCTGTCCTTATAGGCATAAACCACTACACCAGGCCTCCTTCTAACTAATGTCTTTTACACAATAGATCTCTTTTCCTTAGTTATCCCAACTGTAAAGTGAACTCTTCATTTCTAAGTACTCGAGCAATGTTAAATGTCACTGTTCAGTTGTAGATATAAAGATCCTGAGATTAAATATTACTTTAAACAAGCTGGATGCCTTATAAGCTTATTCCTATAATCTTAGCTACTCAAAAGCCTGGGATCTGAGGATCATAATTTAAACACAGCCCAGGCAGGAAAATCCATGAGACTCTTATCTCCAGTAAACCACTCAGAAAAAGCCAGAAGTGGCACTGTGGCTCAAGTGGGAGATCACTAGCCTTGAGCACAAAAAGGCTCAGGGATAGTGCCCTGGCCCTGAATTCAAGCCACAAGTCTGTCCAAAAAAATTACTTTAAACAGAGGAAAGGAGGGATAAAAAGAGTAATAGAAAAGGTACAATTGAACAAAGTAGGCTGTATGCATGGATGGAAATATCACAATTAAAATGCTTTGTATAATAGTATGCCCTAATAAAAAGAAGAAAAAATATTTCTTAAACTCAAAGAGCCAAAAAGTACTTTTTACCTTCTGATAATGCTAGAGAATGAAAGTTTCCACATGAAACTTGTATTATTTTGATACCAGCCAGAGCATTTATTCTCCTGTAATAAAAATGATACAAATTCATTCGTTAAGATTATTATGTCAATATAATACCATTAATGTTTATTGAGATTCATTAATCCAATAATGACTATTCATCAATGAGTATCAATTTGATCATCTAATCATTGGTGTTCTAATTATTAACATTAATGCTGATTACTAATAATATCAATTATTGATATTTATTGATGTTGTTAATACTAACACTGGTATTTATACCATTAGTAACACTAAAATATTACTAATATTATTATTGATGTTATTACCTATTATCTGTATTTAGGAAAAGGTTCTAGGTGAACTACAGATAATTCAAAATATCCCAGGTAATAACTAGGTCAAGTAAACAATTTTTTATTTCTTATATTTCTGTAGTGACATCCCAACGCTTTCAAACAATTTTTTTTCTTTCTTTCTTTTTTTCAGTCATTCTTTTCTTTTTCTCTGTGCTTTCTGTGTTTCTTTTTCTCTCTGTGTTTCTGATGATAGAGCCTTGGGCCTTGCGCATGTCAGGAAAGTGTCATGTACTCCACCACTGAGCCACCTTCCCTCCCCCTTCTTTTTCATTTTCATTTTCTTTTTCTTTGTTTCCTATACAAAGTCTTACTATGTAATCCAAGCCAGGCTTAAATCGTGGCTGCCTGAGCTGCCTCAAATGGGATTATAGGTTTGCAACATCACATCGATCTTGTTTTGTTGTTGTTCTTCTTCTTGTTGTTTTTGGTGGGAGGATATGAGAAATAGTTCATTAGCAGGCTGTAACCCTCCCAATCCCCCCAAGAGATACAAGACCATGCTGGAGTTCTCCCACTACTCCACTCCCCTCAAGTCTCTTCACCATGCCAGAACAGTCAGGAGTTCACACAATCTTCCCTGCTGACAACCAAGCCTGCTTCCTAAGCTGTGGTTTAACAGTAGTTATAGAAATGGAGCTGGGTGCCAGTGGCTCAAGGCTGTAATCCTAGCTACTCAGGAAGATGAGAGAAACGGTAAAAAAATAAAAATAAAAAGCTAAAACAATTAAATATATAAATAAGACAATGGACTCTCATCCAACCTCATGGGCATCACTAATCAGACAAGTCATTGGCTATGTGAAGTCACTATCACCGTCAATATGAGGTCCTGCTCCACAGAACTGCATCACTTTTGACATTCCTTGCACTGGGCAGAAATCACTTAGTATCAAAATGTGTTTGGGTTTTAGTTTTGGATCTTGGGATTTTCCTGATACAGGCTCTGGCTACATGGCACTAACTGACCTCAAACTTGACACTTTCTCCCTCAGCATCCTGAGTGCTGAAATTACAAGAGTGAACCACCAACAGCCAACTGAAATTGTTTTTGCTATGGTATAAATATGTACAAAACTATAGGCTATTATCCAAAACTATATAATTCACAACTGATTTTATTGGTTTTTGAGGCATTAGACAATGTAAATATCTAATTGGCTTAATGTAATTATCTTTACTTACTGGCTTAAGAGAGAAAATATATTTTTCCAATCACATAGCATAGGCTTTGAAATTTAGAGATGGCCAATAATCATCATTTAAGACTTATGAGATTCTTTTAAAGGAGCAATTTGAACCATACAACATAGCCATTCCCATGGGTCAAGAAGAGATGACTATCAGAAATTTCACACCAGACAAGCTGATGGAACTCAAAGAGATCCAATAGCTTTCAACCTATAGAACTAGATTCAAACCTTGGCCTTCTCATCTAATCTAAAATTGCCTGCATGCACACTTTGCATTTGGCTTGAAGGTTTCTCAATGTATGAACTGTGACAGTTCAAAACAAACAATAACCTCATGGTATAACAACTAGCCTACTCTTAGCCACAAGTAGCTCACTGCCCAAACATGTTCAAATAAGAGAGACATATGCTATAACCAATCAGGCCATCTCTACCTAATGTTCTGTCACCTTCTTTTTCTTTAGCCATAAATATAACCTGTCCATATGGAGAGATACAGCATTCTGAACCAGTCTGGGTGTAGATTCCTATAGAATTCTTAAATTATATGCAAGAAAAGCTGAGCAAGATCTGTAAAACTAGATTTGTTGTCATTTTCCCTTGTGTATGGGAACTTGCTTGCCTAAGCCACATTTGGAGATACATACTTTTGTACCCAGCTTTGAACCTTCATCCTTCACATCTCAGCATGCAGAGTAGTTAACATTTATAGACACAAGTCACAAGTGCCCAGCTAAAAATTTTTTAACAGTTCTCACTGGATAGATGAGCATGGGTAATTTAATTCCATTTCCATGAATTAAAATACATGCCTTCAAATACATAATTCAAAGCTGACTGCCTTTTGTATCACCTGTCCTAGGAAATAGTGAAGAAACATGGTATTTCTTTCATTGTACTTGGTGAATTACTATGATCCTGAGACCTATGAAAAGCCAAACGGTTGAGTAGAGAAGAAAACTTTTCCTCTTTCAACTGATGTTTAGTACTTGCAAATTAACTGACAAGGGCTGGGAAGGTGGCTCAGTGGTAGAGAGCTTGCCTTGCATGCATGAGGCCCTGGGTTCAATTCCTTAGCACCACATAAGCAAAAAGAAAAAAGCTGGAAGTGGCTCTGTGGCTCAAGTGGTAGAACACTAGCCTTGAGCTGAAGAGCTGAAGGACAGTGCTCAGGCCCAGAGTTCAGGCCCCACGACCGGACCCCAAAAAAAAAATATATACATACATACATATATATATATATATATATATAAACTGACAATAGAGAACAGAGAAGGAAAAAACAAAAACACAAACAAACAAACAAACAAAAAGGTTTCTTTCTCAGGTCATGCAAAACAGTCCAGAGTAAACCTTTATATATAGTTTTAGGATCTCAAAGGGAGAGTATGGAAGGTTGGGATTTTTGATGGCAATGATGATGGACAGCCTACCTACACAGCATCTGAGTTTCCAAGAGAACATTAATAACCATGACTTTGGAAAACTCTGATTATTTCTCGACAAAAGATATTTTTGCCTCCTAGAACCCTTATAGTTTGATATTATTTTAATGTTGTTAAAATAAATATTAAAATAATCTTTATGCTCGCTCTGGGGGAATTCAATGGGTCCACAAAGTTGCATTACAATATATAAGACTAAGATGAAAGGATCACATCTCTTGTCATCCTGCCTTTCCTCCTTCCTGGGACTCTAAATAATTACCTGATGTGTGCCCTTTCTCTTGTGTTCTCTCAACACACTAGACATCTAGTCTCTAATTTGTCACATTCATGTTTGTGTCCTTAATTGGTATGTGTGTATGTGTGTGTGTGTGTGAGAGAGAGAGAGAGAGAGAGAGAGAGAGAGAGAGAGAAGAGAGAGAGAGGGAGAGGGAGAGGGAGATGGGGAAGGAGGGAGGGAGAGGGGGAGGGAGGGGGAGGGGGAGGGAGGGAGGGAGAGAGAGAGTCAGTACTGAGGCTTGAATTCAGCTGTGAGTGCTGTCCCTTAGCTTTTTCACTCAAGGCTGGCATTCTACCTCTTGAGCTACACTTTCACTCCTGGCTTTTTTGGTAGTTAGTAGTAAATAAAAGTCTCATGAAATCTTCTGCTTGAGATAGTTTTGAACCTTGATCCTCAGATCTCAGCCTCCTAGGTAGCTGAGAGAATGAGTAAACCACCAAGTACACAACTCTGGTCCTAAGACTTGAAGGATGCCTGGTATGTGATACTCAAAAATGTCAAACAAGCAAAGTAGTGACATGAGATACTTACTTAGGTGTAAAATTTATTTCTTTAAGTTCTCCAGTCCCCAGCTGCCCTTCAGAACCAGCTCCCCAAGCAAAAACCTTTCCTTCGTGACAGACGGCTAGCGAGTGTTCCTTCCCACAGCTCACAACATCGATATGAAGCGTTTCCAGTGCCTGAATGTGTTCTTTGGGAACAACAAAAACCCAGAAGATTATTATTTTAATAATTTCAAGGCAACACTTTTCTTCAAAACAGAAGGGTCACCCAAACTCCTTGTCTCCTCCTTGTCTTCTAAATCGAAGTCTAAAATCCTTGCTAAGTATTGGAAAGAACTAAGGTCAGTGTGTTGTCACACTATCTCTATGATAATATAGCCATGTTATAGTATTAATTGGGATGCCATTTGACTAAGATGACTTCCCTGTGTAAGCATACAAACCTGTCTCAGAGTGATGGTCAAAGCACAGAGGAACAAAGCTCCAGTTTAAGCAATCAGAAATCATGAACAACCTTGTACTCTAGGTAGACTTTACCCATTAAAAGCGGCCAGCTAACTTCCATTAGGGATTTTCAAATCATGGTGGAACCTGCCTCCTGTGTGTAAAATGAAGAAGGAAAGAATTCCTAGAGAGTGATCTCCTAAATGAGTCTATAGTGAAAACCCAATCTCATTCCTCTACAAGCCAGTCTAAACTTTCCCAAAATGTCTGTCTAAATTATTATAGGTAAAAATTTGTATCATTTTTGTTGGCACCAAGGGTCCCATTATCACTCATTTCTGTGTTGGGGGCTAGGACATACCATCCTAAATTCACCCTTTGAGGGCTGTGGATATAGTTTAAGAGGCACAGGGCTTGGAGAATACAAGGCTCAGCCCCACACCAGCGGCTCACACCTGTAGTCCTAGCTACTCAAGAGGCTGAGATCTGAGGATCTGAGTGGGGCTGTGGCTCAAGTGGTAGCACACTAGCCTTGAGCTGAAGAGGGACAGCGCTCAGACCCAGAGTTCAAGCCCCATGATCAACAGAGAGAGAGAGAGAGAGAGAGAGAGAGAGAGAGAGGAGAGAGAGAGAGGAGAGAGAGAGAGGAGAGAGAGAAAGAGAAAACACAAAGCTCTCCCTGTTTTTATTCCCAACCCCTTTCAAAAAAATAGTGTTGTGACAGTTCTAGGGCTTGAACTTAGTGCCTGGGTGCTGTCCCTGAGCTTTTTGGCTCAAGGTCCACATTCTACCACTTGAACCACATTTGTAGCCCTACTTTTTTTTTGTTAATTCAAAATAGAATCCATCTGTCCAGGCTGGCTTTGAACTTCAGTCCTCTGCTCTCAGCCTCTTGAGTTAGCAAGATTACAGGCATAAACCACTAACTCCCAGTCTGAGTTATTTTGAGCCAAAGGCAATTGAGGCTCAATTGACCTAGAAATTGTTCTTTGTTCCCCTCCCCCACATGGCATTAGGCTTTTAGTTAGGAGATCAATTTCTCTTTACAAATTGTTTTCCTCTATCTTATCAGAAAGTGGAGTAATTGTTATCATTTAAGGCCAGAGTCAGTAGTAGGATAAATCTGTAAAAACAGCCCTTTCCACACCCTTATCTTCTCTTACAGTCCAATGTATACATATTATATTTGTGACTACACACATGTGTGTATATATTTGTATATGTATGTGTGTATACATGTATACATATAAACACTTATATATACACACACATATATACATATATAGATATCAATATAGATATAGATATAGCATTACTATTTTGACTGATTTTTTTCTGATGTTTCTTTAAGTTTTCTGAGGAATTTTTTGCATGTGTGCTGGTACTGGGTGCCACTCCTGGGTGTTATCCCTGAGTTTTTTCACTCTACCACTTCAGTCACAGCTCTATGTCTGACTTTTGTAGTAGTTAATTGGAGATGTCTCCAATGAATTCTCCAAGCTGGCTTCAAACTTCAGTCCTCAGAATCGGCCTTCTGAGAAGCTAGAATTACAGATGTGAGCCACTGGCAGCCAACTCAAGGAAAAATTGTCTTGTTGTTTTAAAGATGAAAAAAATCAATACATAATAACCTAACAATCCTACATGATTATAGTGTACAATATGATGTCTTAATACAAGTATAATTTGTGTAATCTTTAAATCAGGTCAAATATCTCTCTTCCTCTCCCCCCTCTCTTTGTATATGTACATATATGTGTGCCAGTAATGGGGCTTGAACTCAAAGCCTGGGCCTTTTCACACAAGACTCAACCAGCAAGCCACAGTTTCAATTCAGGTTTTCTGATAGATAATTGCATATGACTCTCATATGGTTCTGTGCCCCTGCTTGCTTCAAACCTTGATCCTCAGATCTCACCTCTTCTGAGTGTCTAGGATTCAGATATGAGCTACTAGCACTGGGCTACATAGCCTTTTTAAAAAATATATGGTACATCATCTACAACCATCCTACTGAGTAATCGCACTCCAAAATCACAAAATCATCCTACTGAGTAATCGCACTCCAAAATCACAAAGTCATCCTACTGAGTAATTGCACTCCTAAGTGGCTCAGGACTACTAATCAAACTTTCCCAGTTCTTTTCTCCCCCCCCCCCCTTTCATTAGGCTCAACTTCCATTCTATCATCAGCTTCTTTTATTTCTTTTTTTATTCTGTTTCTCAAGACAAGGTCTTAATAGGTAGCTTGATCTTCCTGACATAACCAACATAGAGCAGATATTATAGGTGTGTGCCACTGTAGCTTTTCTACTTTCAAATTCTATGAGATCAGCTTTTGTAGATTCTATGTATGACACAGATCTTGTGGTACTTGTCTTTCTATGCCTGGCTCTGTGTGTGTGTGTGTGTGTGTGTGTTGTGTGTTGTGTGTGTGTGTGTGTGTGTGTGTGTGTGTGTGTGTGTAGGTACAGGGGCTTAAATTTAAAGCCTCACTCTCTTGTGTGGTTTTTAGCTCAACTAGTTTTTTGCTCATTAATTGGAGAAAAGAGTTTCTTGGATTTGCATGACTGGACTGTCTTCACACTAGGATCCTTAGAACTCAGCCTCTGGAGTAGCTAGGATTACAGGTATGAACCACCAGATCCTAGCTGCCTGGATATTTAACATCGGATGGCCACCTCCATCCATATTGTCTCTCTCATTATTCTCTCATATATTTCCTAATCATTTCCCCACAGTACATCATCGCTTGAATCCCAAATTTCCTTTTCCTTGTTAAATATGTATATGATCCCCTGCATCTAAGTTTTTCTAAGGAAAGCTGAGCTCTGGTGGCTTAACTCTGTAATTCTAGGTACTCAGGAAACTGAGATCTGAGGATCAAAGTTCAAGCAAGACTAGAGCATCAAACTTGAGCACAAAAGCCAAGCAAGATGATAAGGCCATGGATTCAAGGTCAAGCCTGAGTATTGGCATAGAATAGATAGGTAGGCAAGTAGATAGAGAGAAAGAGAGAGAGAGAGAGAGAGAGATCTGAAGTAGGGATACTGAATCTAACTGACACCATCTTGGCCATATAGTGGATGATAGGGTGTTGGGTTTAACTGGAGCCATTTTATCTTCATGGTGGAGGCAGAAAAGTCCCACCATCCCAGTGATGGGGTGCCTGAATTCTTAGAGGCAGAAGTGGGGACTTGGACAATAGGTTACTGGACCTGTCTGCCTTGGGTCATGATCTCAAGTTCCCTGGAACCCTGCCCTCTGACCTGACCCTATTTAGGCCCGGACCAGCTCAGGCACAGGCATACCATGACAGCGCACTTCAGCTCTCCATTGGAGCTCATCTGGATTGTTGGTATTGTTTTTCTGCTCTTTCTTTCCTCTTCTGTTCTCATGACTCAGTTTTATGACAGTGTTAAGTGTATTCACAAGGCTGCAGATCTTTATGTAAAGAGTATGTCTGTGATCACTGGCCTTCTAATAAAGACTCCTGATTAGACCTCTCAAAATGTGGCTTGTTTTCTCATCATATGACTGACAGACAGACAGACAGACAGACACACACACACACACACACACACATACACGGAGATAGATGTCCTTTGGAAAAATAAGCCCAGCACCAGTGGCTCATACCTACATTCTAGCTACTCAGGGGATTGAGATCTGGGAATCAAGGTTCAAAGCCAGTTCATGTAGAAAAGTCCTGTCTGTCATATGACTGACAGACAGACAGACACACACGCGCACGCGCGCGTGCACACACACACACACACACACACACACGGTAGAAGTGGAGCTATAGCTCAAGTAGTAGAGTGCTTGCCTTCAGCAAAAATCCTCAGATACTGCCCCAAGCCCTGAGTTCAAGAGAAAGAGGAAGGAAAGAAGGAAGGAAGGAAGGAAGGAAGGAAGGAAGGAAGGAAGGAAGGAAGGAAGGAAGGAAGGGGAAGAAAGGGAAAAAAGAAGGAAGAAAAGAATAAAAGGAAAGAAGAAAGGAAGGAAAGGAAAAGAAAAAAGAAGAAAAGGAAGGAAGAAAAGGGAAGGAAGGAAGGAAGAAAAAGGAAGGAAGGGAGGAAGGAAAGAAGGAAGAAAGAAGGAAGGAAGGAAGAAGGAAAGAAGGAAGAGAAAGGAAAGGAAGAAGGGAGAAAGAAAGAAAGAAAGAAAGAAAGAAAGAAAGAAAGAAAGAAAGAAAGGAAGGAAGGAAGAAAAAAGCAAGCAAGCAGGCAAGACCCAGGGTACTATGGTAATATGTTCATGATATTCTTACATTTGGTTAAAAAATTAAACAATAAAATAAATTAAAACTGCAATTGTGATCATTTGGGTAAATGCCCAGAAGTGGGATTGCTGGGTCACAGGGGAGCTCTATGTGTAGTCTTTTGAGGAACCTCCAAATGATCACAAACAAGGCCATATTAAAGCTACCAGCACAACTACGTTTGTTGTAGCATTATTCACCATAGCTAAGATAGGAAACCAATCTAGATGCCCCTCAGTAGATGAATGGATCAAGAAAATGTGATATATATATATATGTGTGTATGTGTGTGTGTGTGTATATATATATATATATATATATATATATATATATAATGGAATTCTGTGCTTCTATCAGTAAGAATGACACCATTTGTTAGGAAATGGAAAGACTTGGAAAAAATCATATAAAATGAAGCAAGCCAAACCCAAAGAAATGTAGGTCCCATGCTTTCCCTTATTTGCAATAATTAGTACACATCTAGGATAGTTTTATCAGATGAGTAGAAAAGCTCAAAAGCTATGTACATATGACCATATAAGATGATGCTAAGTGAAATGAACCCCAAGATATGAACACAAGAGCTCTTTCTTTGTTGCTGTCCTTTTAAAATGTACTATGTGATTTTTTTTGTTTCCTTTGTATGTTCTTCCCCTATGATATATCCCCTGTTGTCACTGCACTGCATCTTGTATATACATTTGGCTAATTTGGGGAGGGGAAGGGGAAGAGCAAAACGCTGAAACAAGGATATAAGATGACCCATTGCAACAAGGCAGTATATTAGAAATAAACTTCACAACTTGGGGTGAGGGAGGAGTGATGGAGGTGGGGGAGGGAAGGAATAGAGGGAGAACAACAAAGGAGGGGTAACAATGTCGACAGGACATGCACTCATTACCTTACTCATGTAACTGTAACCCCTCTGTAGCATCTTTACAAGAAAAAACAAATTTTAAATCCGCAATTAACAGAGTTGTCAACACACTACATATGGCAGATCTTTGACATCAAAATTAAATATATACCTGGAAAAAAGACAAGGGGGAAAATTCGGATACAGTTTCCAAATTTCTGAGTTTGGAAATTGGAAAGTGTCTATGAGCTGAAATTATAGGTGATTTCCTTTCGTGTTTCCACAAGTCTATAAGAGTGGGTACAAAATGCTAGTTACCGGTGTCAGACCCACACACCACGTTTGGCAGGTAGCCGGCGCCCCCAGATGGCGCGGCCAGGACGGGGTAGACAGCGGAGGGGACCCCCCCCCCTCCAGGCTGGGCACACGGGGCGGAGCCTCCAGCTTCGCGCAATTCTTCGGTTCTCCGGATGAACTGGAAACCGAAACCAGTCCGAGGAGTCCCGAAACGAAACTGATGGGGTGAGCCGGGGCGGCGCGCAGCGGGGTCCCCCGCGCCCGAGCCTCTAGGAGCACCACGGACCCTAGCCCCCAGCCCCCCGTGGCCCGCCGCGACCCCCATCCGGGCCCCGCACTCACCTGCCTGCTTCGAGCTCGGCACGCCCCTCCGGCCCAGCTGGCCGCAGCTGTTGTCCCCCAACGAGAGGACAGTGTGGTCGATCAGCAGCAGCAGCGAGTGCCGTCCCCCGCTGGCCGCCTGCAGCACCTCGCTGCCTGCACCGCCCGCCGTCCCTTGGCGCTGCGGACCCGGAGACCCTGAGACCCAGGACCAGTACATCCCGCCGGCCACCGCCACCTGCACTGGCTGAGCGCGCTCCGCCCCACGGACTCTAGAGCGCCAGGGATGGGTGTGCCAAAGGCTGTGTGGTCCAGCCTCCCAGTGGGTCAGCCTGCTTCACAACCTGCCTCACCCGACTAGCGCAGCCCGGTCATCTAAGTCAGCTTAGCCTCTGACTACCCATGTTCCCAGTATGACCAGCAGAGGGTACGGCCTCTTTCCAGCTGTGCATTGCCAGGTAAATCGTCTAGCCATTAGCTACTACATTTAGGACATATGGACAGTAGCAAAAACAATGATCGAAGAGTGTTAAAGAGAGAGAGGAAGTTAGCCGGGCGCTGGTGATTCACGCCTGTAAGCCTAGCTACTCAGGAGGCTTAGATCTGAGAATAGCAGTTCTAAACCAGCCTGTGCAGTTCAAGGCCTTGAGACTCTTATTTCCAATTAACCACCAGAAACATGGAAGTGGCACAAAGTGGTAGAATGATATCCTTGAGCAAAAAAACACAGCACCCAGGCCCCAAGTTCAAGCACCATGACCGACCAAAAAAAAAGATAAAACACTTTCAAGGATGAGGAGTTTATTTTGGCTCAGGTTTCAGAGTTCAGTTGGTGGTTGCACGTCTTAATGCGCCTGTACAGAACATCACAGTGGCGGAATGTGTTTATTGTCTAATGGTAGATAGAAAATAGAGTGAAATCAACACAACCTGAGAGAAAGACACAGCCCCAGAAAGCATACCCTCAGTGACTTTCTTCCTCTAGTTGGAGTCCAGCTCCTGAAGTTTCCAGGCAGACTCTCCCAAAATAGTGCTACCAGTTAAGAAATAAACCTCTAATGCAGAAGTCCTTGGGCCGGACAAATCATTTTCAAACCAACACTTTTTTTTAAATTTAATTTTATTTTATTTGTGAACATATTGTACAGAGGGGTTACAATTGCATGGGCAGGATAATGGGTACATTTCTTACCAAGCATTGCAGCCTCCTCCTTTATTTACCCTTCACATCACTTCCCAGCCTCCCCCCTCCCTCCCAATCCCAATCCTTCTCCTTCCCCCCCCCTCCGACTTTGTAAAGCTCATTCAAACCAACACTTTTAACCTAGCTCCAAGAAGACTCATGTCTATCTCATAGTACAAAATACAATTAGTCCATTCCCTAGAGACCTCACAGTCTGAATATCAAAGTTCAAAGTCATCTGTAGGATTGAAAGCAATCTCTGAGTTGCGAGACCCTGAAAAACAACTTGGGGAGGGGAGGTGTTAGGGGTAGGGAAAGTAGGAGAAAAATGAGGAACAAACTTGACAAGAAATATACTTATTACCTTACTTATGTAACTGTAACTCCTCTGTAATTCACCTTGACAATAAAATAAAAAAAATTATTAGTAAAACAAACAATAGATAACAAATTACAAGATACAGTGGCACAGCAAGAATATTCCCACTCCTAAAAATGGGAACATTAGAAATGAGAAATCGGGGTAAAGCAAGACTAAAACCCCACAGAACAAACAATACATCCTGTAGCTCCATGCCTAGTAACCAGAGCATGTGGTAGTGTGATGTGAGCTCCAAAGTCATGCAGCAACTCTGTCTCTAGTGTCTTGCCAGTTGTAGCCTGTATGCCTGGAGCTGCCCTTAAGCAGATACTTTCTGCTCCGGCACCTTCAGCTTCACTCTCAGTTTCAGGCATCATCCACAAAGCTGTTGCTGAGGGAAACCTGACATTGCTTAGTGTTGTCTAGCTTCCCAGTCTTTCCTATGGAGTTCGACTAAAAGCATCCAAGACCTCATAATCCTGCCATGCTGAAGCCTGAAAAGTGAACATCCTAAAGAATGATGACAAGCTCTGATACCAGCTTGAGTGGCTAGCTCTCCTCTCTCAGCCATGATGATGTCTACCTGTAAGTGTCTGGACACCTGTGCATGGTGTCAAATCCTGGGGAAATAGCTTCCTACATGGCTCCTACATGAGCAAGTTGCTTTAGAAACAAAGAAAGCACTTTCCAATGTCAAAAATCTTTCGACTGGGTTTGCTATTTCACATCCTTGAGTCTGACATGGTGAGGGTCTGGCCAATTCCTGAGATATTCTCAAGGCATCATTACTATCGTTCCTATGCATACACAAAAAACAAGCCTTACTTTTAGCATCAGAAATATCTTCTTCTGGGCTGGGAAAGTGGCTCAGTGGTAGAGCGCTTGCCTTGCATGCATGAGGCCCTGGGTTCAATTCCTCAGCACCACCTAAGCAAAAAGAAAAAATTCGGAAGTGGCGTTGTGGCTCAAGTGGTAGAGTGCTAGCCTTGAGCTAAAGAGCTGAGGGACAGCGCCCAGGCCCAGAGTTCAGGCCCATGACCGGACCCCTCCCCCCCCCAAAAAAGAAATAACTTCTTCTGGCCAAATTGCTTGTTTTTTAAGCCATTCCACTCTGGTTTTTGATCCTTAGCTAGAAAGAGATTTTAATAACTGGCACAAAGACTAAATGTTATGTTACTTTTAAATTTCCTTCCTCAGATTAATTTGTCTATCATGTATGAACACAGCTTTCCTCAAAATCTCTGGTCACAGGTAAAAAGTAGATGAATTGCTAGGCTATAGCACAAAATAACTCTAGTTCAAATTCCCAACAGACTAATGGTTAGGATGTAACACAAAATAACTCTAGTTCAATTCCCAATATAGACTGATGGCTAGAATGTAACACAAAATAACTCTAGTTCAATTCCCAATATAGACTGATGGCTAGGATGAAACAAAATAACTCTAGTTCAAATTCCCAACAGACTAATGGTTAGGATGAAACACAAAATAACTCTAGTTCAATTCCCAATATAGACTGATGGCTAGGATGAAACACAAAATAATTCTAGTTCAATTCCCAACAGACTAATGGTTAGGATGTAACACAAAATAACTCTAGTTCAATATGGCTAGGATGAAACACAAAATAATTCTAGTTCAATTCCCAACAGACTAATGGTTAGGATGTAACACAAAATAACTCTAGTTCAATTCCCAATATAGACTGATGGCTAGGATGAAACACAAAATAATTCTAGTTCAATTCCCAACAGACTAATGGCTAGAATGTAACACAAAATAACTCTAGTTCAATTCCCAATACAGACCTGTTCCCACTAGAAATTTCAGGTACAGTGTTACCAGCATCAGTTCTTCCTGAGGTCACAACAGAATTTCCTATTAAGCTCTGTTTTTCAGACTTCTGGACTTACTTTAGTCTACTTCTGCAACATTTTCCAAATTCCAAAGGCTTAAGAACCATATTGTCTCCAGGCACCGGTGGCTCACGCCTGTAATCCTAGCTACTCAGGAAGCGGGGATCCGAGAATCCTGGTTCAAAGCCAGCCCAGGCAGAAAAGTCTGTGAGACTCTGATCTTCAATAAACCACTAGAAAACTAGAGGTGGTGCTGTGGCTCAAAAGGTAGAGGGCTCGCCTTGAGCCAAAGAGCACAGGGACAGCGCCCAGGCCCAGAGTTCAAGCCCCATGACCGACCATATTGTCGGGTTATCATAGCAATGATTTCACTTATATAGTTCCAACTTTCTGTGTTAGTTGGCATTATTCAAGAACTATGATTGAAATGCTCAAGAGAACAAATCAAAGGGAATAATTACATGTTTTAACTCAATTTCCAATGTTTCATCCTTTGTGATAGAGACAACATGGCAGAGGAGCTCATAGCATGAACAGAAAGCAGATTCAAGCCCCAGAGATGTCTGGGACAACATATAGCACAAAGGACCCATGCTACCAGGGACAAACTGCTTCCAGGTAGTTTTTCCTTCTAGAAATGCCAGAACTTCTAAGAAAATCACCATAGCTAGGGGAACATGCTTTCAATACATAAACAATATATAAACATTACATCCAAACTGTAACAGTGGGCAGGGGGTGGGGGGAGAGGGAAAGAAAGAGGTTGGTAGCTTCCACAAATGGGAGCTTCCACAAATGGAATATATACTAAAGAAGATTTTAAAATGTTCAATTCAGAATAAGCTTATCAAAACAGAATAAATCCAGAGCTGTTCTAGCTTATATACATACATATTTATATACACACATGCATACACACATATGCATACATATATACATACATATATATGTATACACACATTAATGGAACTCAGAATAATTATAATCACTTTCTGAACTCAAGTTGGCTTCTTCATAGATAATTTTTTAAATGACTAAAATGTATGTTTCTAAAATGAATATGTTGCTCTTGTTGAACATATTCAATATGTTCTTGTTCACAGATGTCCCTAAATGAATGGAATGTGACTTCACAATTGTCTTTGAAACATCTTTCATAACCAAAAATCTTCACATCCTCAAATAAAATTCTTATAAGTATTATAAGTGATAGGTTTTTACTTTAAATGCATTTAAAATATTTGTGTTATCTGTTAAAATAAACATTTACTCCTATTAGAAAATTCAAGGTAGAGATTGGATTTGATTCAAGACTAAAAGAAAAGATAATTATAATTTGGAAAGGAAATACCCTACCTTTGATTTATCGTAAAATTTCAAAAGTTATGAGATCATAAACTCAAGAAATAGTATTGTGATATGACATATTTCACTCCTTTCTATGGCTTCTTTTTTGTCCTCATTTATAAAGAAACAAGTTTCTCATTTTAATAATTCTGAAATATTAGTTCTGATCTGGAGATGAAGCTACTGATTGCATGCTTAGAATATTCAAGGCCTTAGGTCCTTGATTCAAGCCCAACCACTGAAGGGAAAGAAAATGGAAAGCAGGAAGAAGGGGAAGGGAAGAAGAGGGAAGGGGAAGCATGGAGGGCAGAGAGAGGGGGAGGAGAGAAGGAAGGAAGAAAGGAAGAAAGGGAAGAAGGAAGGAAGGGAGGGAAGGAGGGAAAAATACAGAGAGGGAAGGAGGAAAAGTAAGGAGGGGAGGAAAAGGGAAATATATGGTTCTGTTTTTACATATGTATCTAAACATTTCTGAG